CATGATTGTAAGTGTACACAAGAGACATGATTGTAAGTGTACACAAGAGACAGGATTGTAAGTGTACACAGGATTGTAAGTGTACACCAGACACAGGATTGTGTACGCGACACATTTGTCCCTAGACACACTCACTGCATCAACCGCCGGCTAACTTGACTCAGGAGCAGACGACTTATCTGCCCTTCATGGAGACCAGCTGACGCCATGACAAGCTCACATTGAGGCTGGGGCTTTGGCACCCCACAGACCGACGGGTGCACATAGGTTGGGGCGTTATCACACAATATGGCGCCAGATTAAGTTTGTTTAAATAGCCGGTTATTTAATTCTTCTTTAAGGTGAGCAATGTCATAAAAACACCCTTTATGTTGTAAATTGTTTATCATTATTTATAATCATACAAGCCTTTTTTAAACACATTGTTTTGTCATAGCTGAGCACTTTTTAGCGCAATTTCCATTCTGGAGAATTGCGTTTATTAACCCGTCATTTCTGGATGTATGAATGAATGGATGGATGGATGGATGGATGGATGTGTGTCCGCAGCTTTAGGTCGTATCTCCTCCTCAACGAAGCAATATCGATGACTAGTTTCTTTCAACATTCACAAAGATTGCTTTAGTTCTATACTTCAACATTCACAAAGATTGCTTTAGTTCCATACTTCAACAATCACAAAGATTGCTTTAGTTCTATACTTCAACATTCACAAAGATTGCTTTAGTTCCATACTTCAACATTCACAAAGATTGCTTTAGTTCCATACTTCAACAATCACAAAGATTGTTTTAGTTCCATACTTCAACAATCACAAAGATTGTTACACAAATATTTTGTGACCTTGACATTGACCAACCACTGGATGGCAAGCTAAACCCATGGCTCGTTCATATGTACCGCGCAATCTATGACGCGACATTTGCTGTGTATTTATCTATAGGCTAAACTCTAAACGAAAGTCAGGATTCCATTCCAACACGATTTATAACCACGTGACCTCATGTGGGAGATCAACCGTGACCGAAGTCTTTCAAGCTTACCCTAATATGTGGTTGGTCAGGTTTTTTCCCATCCTTCAAGCTTCCCCTAATATGTGGTTGTTCAGGTTTTTTCCCCATCGAAAATGTCTTGTGACAGCCGTCTAAAGTCATGTGGCGACCATTAAGGTCATGACGACCGTCACAAGTAAAGTGGCGACCATTAAGGTCATGTGACCATCGTCATGTGGCGACCATTAAGGTCATGTGACGACCGTCATGTGGCGACCATTAAGGTCATGTGACCATCGTCATGTGGCGACATTCTCACAGAAGGTCTTTGCGTGAAACGAAATGGTAGCTGGGCTGAAATGATGGCTGACGATAGGTGCCCCGTGGTGTCACGCTAAATGTTTTAAAACATTCGCCAGAGTTACAAGCACTTGCTTCAATTCGTCTACAGATTTGTGGCAATGGGAAGGGGGGAGCGCCTTTTTCGCAAACTTGAACAACTATACAAATGAAGAAGAGATGGGATGGGGGGCGCAAACTTGAGCTCTATATAAATTGGGGAGGGGTTGGCGAAAAATTGATTGTTCAATCAGAACGGTGAAATGTGTCGCTGAACTTCTGTATGGAGGCGCTCAAAGGTTTAAAAGTAATTTGACGCCATCTGATCTCGTTTTGGCAACTGTTGCTATTGTACACAGACCGGGAGATTTTAAGTGTTGGCAACTGTTGCTAAGGTACACACATCGGGATATTTTAAGTGTTGGCAACTGTTGCTATTGTACACAGACCGGGATATTTTAAGTGTTGGCAACTGTTGCTATTGTACACAAACCGGGAGATTTAAGTGTTGGCAACTGTTGCTAAGGTACACACACATCGGGATATTTTAAGTGTTGGCAACTGTTGCTAAGGTACACACACATCGGGATATTTTAAGTGTTGGCAACTGTTGCTAAGGTACAAACATCGGGATATTTTAAGTGTTGGCAACTGTTGCTAAGGTACACACACATCGGGATATTTTAAGTGTTGGCAACTGTTGCTAAGGTACACACACCAGCAGATTTTGTGGTGGCAACTGTTGCTAAGGTACACACACCAGCAGATTTTGTGGTGGCAACTGTTGCTAAGGTACACACATCGGGATATTTTAAGTGTTGGCAACTGCTGCTAAGGTACACACATCGGGATATTTTAAGTGTTGGCAACTGTTGCTAAGGTACAAACATCGGGATATTTTAAGTGTTGGCAACTGTTGCTAAGGTACACACACCAGCAGATTTTGTGGTGGCAACTGTTGCTAAGGTACAAACATCGGGATATTTTAAGTGTTGGCAACTGTTGCTAAGGTACAAACATCGGGATATTTTAACTGTTGGCAACTGTTGCTAAGGTACAAACATCGGGATATTTTAAGTGTTGGCAACTGTTGCTAAGGTACACACCGGGAGATTTTAAAAATTCATCCTGTCTTATATTCTTTTGTCTTGCCATAGAAACTTTACATTCTGTGTATCCCACCAGCCAAATGCTCAAATATTTATCACCGCCATGAAACACGAGGATTTTTCATGAAGTTGCTCAACAGAATATTTGATCACCAACTCAGCGTTATTTTATTTACTTGATTGTCTTCCCTGGCATTCGCCGTCTGCTAACCAGTTCAAGTTCAGTGTGTCGTTAAACCAGGCCAATAGACCGGTGCCAGAAATAGGAGCCAAACGGATCACTCGGTCACGTAAAGATAATTCCCCCCCCCCCACCTCCCCCATTAAATTTTTTTAAAAAGGATTAAGAACAAAAAGATTACGAAGGTTTTGTAATGTGGAAAATATTTTAAGCACCGATAAATAGAAATGTAAATTAAAAGGTCTGTTTTTGGCATGGCAATTATTTTATATCCTGGCTAGATGGTCTCTGTTATGATAGTTATCGATAGTTTCTCGCTTCTGCTATGATAGTTTCTCGCTTCTGCTATGATAGTTTCTCGATTCTGCTATCATAGTCAGTGGCGTAGCTATGGGAGAGCGGGTGGGGCGGCCGCCCCGGCGCGGACACTAAGGTAGCGCCAAAAGGGGTAAAAAAAACAACAACTCAATTTGAGCGAGAAGTATTGAATTGTACACAGTCAAAGTGTGGCACCAAAGCAAAAACTAGTGACTGGCAAAAAGAGCCACCAACCTTTTCAAGGTAGGTGTAGGGGAGGGGGACACAAATTTGATAGTTCGCCCCGGGCGCCAGATTGGGTCGCTATCCCTCTTATCATAGTTCTCGATAGTTTCTCGATTCTGCCATGATAGAGATAGTTTTTTTTACGATAATAGTTTCTGATCTGAAATACCTCTACTCTTTTTTATTGTGAGTTAAACTGGTATAGTTAACCTGTCCAACTATTGTGAGTTAAACTGGTGTAGTTAACTTGTCCAACTCTTGTGAGCTGATATGTAAATGTTAAAGTATGTCTCGCTTTGACCAAAAGAATTGTAAAAAAAATGTCCCCTTGTATGTAAATGTATAAAACAGATTAGAGTAGTTTTACAGCTGCCCAATCGATGGATGCAAGTAGATCCAGTTAGTACGGAGCCACTGGGTACCTCAGTTGTAGATCCTGTTAGTACGGAGCCACTGGGTACCTCAGTTGTAGATCCAGTTAGTACGGAGCCACTGGGTACCTCAGCTGTAGATCCTGTTAGTACGGAGCCACTGGGTACCTCAGTTGTAGATCCTGTTAGTACGGAGCCACTGGGTACCTCAGCTGTAGATCCTGTTAGTACGGAGCCACTGGGTGTTAGTACGGAGCCACTGGGTACCTCAGTTGTAGATCCTGTACGGAGCCACTGGGTACCTCAGCTGTAGATCCTGTTAGTACGGAGCCACTGGGTACCTCAGTTGTAGATCCTGTTAGTACGGAGCCACTGGGTACCTCAGCTGTAGATCCTGTTAGTACGGAGCCACTGGGTACCTCAGTTGTAGATCCTGTTAGTACGGAGCCACTAGGTACCTCAGCTGTAGATCCAGTTAGTACGGAGCCACTGGGTACCTCAGCTGTAGATCCTGTTAGTACGGAGCCACTGGGTGTTAGTACGGAGCCACTGGGTACCTCAGCTGTAGATCCTGTTAGTACGGAGCCACTGGGTGTTAGTACGGAGCCACTGGGTACCTCAGTTGTAGATCCTGTTAGTACGGAGCCACTGGGTACCTCAGCATTAACGGTCTTACTGCTAAGGCTTATAATTCTTTATAAAGATTTCAGTTGAAACATACTAGTAATTAATCGAATATACAGAAATTTACAGAAATTTCTTTAGAAAATTTTGAATAGAAATTTGGTTATAAATGACTAAATTTTGTCTAAATATTGTTGCATGAATTGTAACGGGCTCTATCTAATTGTAGCACTCTCCACTGATGTTCTATTTGGCCAACGATATAACACTTGGTGTACGATGTTATTAAAATATGGTTATAAAATCGTGATTCTTTGGGTTTTGTTCTTGTAGAAAGTAGATCTATATAAAACATCGTATTAAGATATTGGCACGCTTATGTGGCATATAAACCACGTCTACATAAGGTGTATAAACAAAATATTGATAAACACGGTGTCGTATGACATATATAAAACCAATACAAGTATTCTGTATGTGAATACATTACTACATCTTTCCCCCGATCTCCGTGAAATGTCAGGAAGTTGATGAGTACACTATTTGCTAAAGTATGCATCCACCGTTGTAAATGTTCTTGCCAGTGTTCATGGACATTATTTTCTTTTCCCCAGAATAATGTGAGAAAACATCGGTTGACATAATCCATGTAGATATCCGACTCCATCCAAACAAACTAATGCTAAATTACAGTTTTCAAATACCGTATGTATGGATAACCAGACACAAATACCTTCTGTATGGATAACCAGACACAAATAGATCTACCTTTTGTATGGATAACGAGACACATATGTGTAACTTTCCGCGCAGACGGCACTTGTCATCAGACGATGTCCGAATGGCGACGTTAGCAAACCTGGCACACGACCAAAGACCGAGATCAGAGGAAGGTTACAGAAACATCAGTAAAGTGCACGTGGATATAGACGACGAACGTTCGACGTTCAGCATGACGAATGAACAATGGCGGGATGGAGCAGAAGGCATAAGGATTCTAAAAAATAAAGTCTGGGGACATCGGCCAGAAAATTTGAAGTGTCAAGAATGGGGAGACATAGAAGAAGAAAAAATGTTTCAAGAAAGCAGAGAGCGGATAGAAGAGTTCAGAACTACGGCGCACCAATTAGAAGATATACGATCAACAACGAATAATGACTCGATGCAAAAGTCTGGGTATGTACAGTGCAATGAAAGGGCTGATGGCCAAAGTGTGTCTAAAAATTGGCCTGATGGCCCCCAACACATGAAGCTCAAAGAATGGGGGCGTGGCCCTGGCGACACAAAATTTAGCGATTGGGGAAATGGTTCAACTTTGGAGCCGTATGGATCAACTTATTCCGTCCGGGCTTCAAGACAACAGCCGCTACAAGGTCGCGAACAGCCATACGGCCATGAACAGCCTCACGGCTATGTACAACCACATGGCCATGAAAAGCCACACGGACATGAACAGCCACTCTGCTATGAACAGCCACCACACTCACTCCAGCACCACATGTGGACAGGTGACCCTGGTGAGGTTCACCACTGCGAGGTCTGTGGCGAGGTGGCCAATGGTCATTTTTTTGGTGCAGTTGTTTGCCTCCCTTGTAAGGTAGGTCTTTAATTAGGTCGTCTCTAAACTTTTTTGGTGCTGTTGTTTGCCTCCCTTGTACGGTAGGTCTTTAATTAGGTTGTCTCTAAACTTTTTTTTGGTGCAGTTGTTTGCCTCCCTTGTAAAGTAGGTCTTTAATTAGGTTGTCTCTAAACTTTTTTTTTTGGTGCAGTTGTTTGCCTCCCTTGTAAGGTAGGTCTTTAATTAGGTTGTCTCTAAACTTTTTTGGTGCAGTTGTTTGTCTCCCTTGTAATGTAGGTCTTTAATTAGGTTGTCTCTAAACTTTTTTTGGTGCTGAATATGTTTCTTGCCGTCAACCCGCCCATTGATGATCGACTTGATCTAGTCATTTCCACTGTACATTTGGGGGGGGGGGGGGGGGATTACTCCCCAGTCAATTACCCCCCCCCCCCCCGTCATAGCTTAAGGTACATCTAAACTTAGGGCTATGAATAGGTATTAGGGTTAGGGCTGAGATATTAGGCTTAGGGTCAGGGTTTGGGTTAGGATTAGTGTTAGTGTCAGGGTTAGGCGTGAGCCAATGTCTAGGGTTGGGTTTGGGTTAAGTTTTAGGATGAGGTGAATGCTTAGTTTTAGTCTTTAAGGTTAGGATTAAGGTATATATAAGTACAGAGTTGGAGTCAGGATTCTTGAGCGGTGTGTGTGTGGGGGAGGGGGGGGGGGAACTCCCCAAAAGGGTAATTGCTCATGGGGGTAATGACGGGGATGTCCGGGGGTAATTGAAGGGGTTAATGTCCTAGACCCACATTTGGATGCAAACTAAAGTTAAGGAATGGGGAGACAATGTGTCTTATCAATCAGAGATCTCGACAAATCTTGATAAAAGATCTCGTTCAACCTCAATCAGAGATCTCGTCAAATCTCGATAAAAGATCTCGTTCAACCTCAATCAGAGATCTCGTCAAATCTTGATAAAAGATCTCGTTCAACCTCGATCAGAGATCTCGTCAAAGCTCGATCGAAGTTTCTCAAAACGCCTCGTTAGAGTTAAAAGCTTTGAACCTGTCGCTCCCCTTTCGCCCCCCCCCCCCCACCTAGATGTGACACTACTGACCCAGTGCCCCTGCATGTTGTAACACAGCAATTATTTCGGTGTAAAGCGTGAGTCAATCAGCTGTGTATAACATTCAGCTGTGTGAAATATAGCATTCAGCTGTGTGAAATATAGCATTCAGCTGTGTGAAATATAGCATTCAGCTGTGTGAAAGTATAGCATTTAGCTGTGTGAAAGTATAGCATTCAGCTGTGTGAAAGTATATCTTTCAGCTGTGTACACGTGAATCGATTTGATGTCTACTTTCCGTGTTCTGGGGTACGTAAAATTTGATTCGCAAAGGATTGAATGATCGCTGCTGTGTTTCTAGGACTATGTTATGTACCTGTGTCTTAATTTGGCGCCAAAATAATACTTGATGTCCACATTGCTATGTCATTAACCCTTTCCCCGGCAACATATTTGGTACCCTGTCCCCGGCAACTGGGTGGATCACACCCAAAGACTTTCTTATAGTAAATTCTTTTCTATGTTCATTGTGGGGTGGGTAACAATACTGACACAGTTAAGGTATTCAGGGCACAGAGACCATGGGGAACACAAGACATGTTATTGTCAATGGGAGAGCTGTAATATGATACTACAGGTTGATGGGATTCTCAAGCAAGAGTTAACCTGTGGGTGGACACATGTAGTGATTTATACTCTTTGCTGGAGCTCTGACTTGCAGTTACAGACAGAACTGTAGTTTAGAGTTACAATAGGTTAATGAAATGCAGGGGTAAGATTGCCTGTGGGAAGACCTATATAGTGATTTGTAGTCTTTTGTGGGAGCTCTGGAATGTAGATAGAGACATTCGAGCCTTTCAGAGTAACTTGACATTAACCTCATTAGGAGTACAAATGAGGACAAAAAGGCAAAACAACTTTGTAATGCTGCTTGGAAGTTAATACTGGGCAATTAATTGATCAAACTGGGAGTGGGGTGGGTGTTCTACAGGTTGTGACCCTGAGAGTAAGGTTTATAAATAGTCACAAACGTTATTGAGAACACAACAGAAACAAGTCTTGAATGTTTCTGTCTAAACTCAAGTGCTAATGATAAAGGAATATATTTGCCAGTTTTAGTATAGCAGGTGAAAATGACCAACAAGTTTTGAGTCTGAACTATTAGTATCAGAGGTAGAAGATGAAGAATGGCAGCCATCGGTATCAAGCAGCTCTGATGACGAGATCTACCCAATATACTGCATTTCAACTATCAATAATGTGTCAACAGTTGGCATTCATAATGAAATGAAACGGCTGGTGCAAAGTGAAGAAAAAGAAATATTTTCAGGAAAGACAAAGTAACAGTACACTAGACCACTGCCTGAAGTGCTAATCCCAGGAGATTTATAAACAGCCTGACCCTAAATATTTCTTCTGTGCATGAACACAAAAAATAATACAACCAATATTTGACTGCATTAGCAGGGATGGAGAGAAAGCAAGAGGAGACACTGGCACTCTGCAGAATAACAATTGAGTTGTATGTCAATTCAGTTCTAATTATTGAAGTTTTTGAAGGCAGAATTTTCTATGAAGAAATTCAGCAACCTTCTGGGTCATATTCACTTCACAACAATAACACTAACAGTCCATCAGGCTCATGGTATATTTGCTTCCATTATGGTAGATATTCCATTCAAATTTAGAAAGGTGTTATGTTCCTGGAGAGATCATTACTAATTAGCAAGTGGTTGATTTTAGAGGTGGGAGTAGATTTATCCAATACATACCAAGCAATTCCGATAAGTATGGAATTAAAATATTTTGGACCTGTGACTCAAGTAACACCACTAAAAGGGTGCCCATATTTTATAAAAAAAAACTAAAGTTCCCTGCCAGCAAAAGCAAATGTCCAGATATTTTAATTTTATCTAACAACTGTGCTCTCTGAGGTGCGAATTATTAAAACGTGTTAATGTTCTATTATTTTGTTACTTAAGTTGATTACTTCAATCCTGTTTGATATTTTTGTTACTCAAATATCTTCAGATTGTTAATTTATAGTTAAACTTTGAAAATGTAACACAATGACTTAACCCACAATGAGTAAATACAAATTGTTAGAAGCCAGTTTATAAGTTATAAATATTTTTTCCATTCAAAATTGTGTACGGGTGTGTAGCACCCAGTTGCCAGGGACCGTATAAAAAAATTTCAAACCCTCATAAAAAAAATTCTTACGCATATTTTTTAAATTTACAACCTCCAATGTGTTTATCCCAACCACCTTATAGATGGGAATGAGGCCCAGAAAAATTTATAAACCGAGACTCGAGATATGAGCAAAAATATAGCGACTTCGGGTCGATTACACCCAGTCGCCGGGGAAAGGGTTAAACTACCAGTCTTCATTTTCATAACCTGCACCCTAATCTACATTCACATTAATATTTACTGTGACCTCCTCACTCACTCACCAAGATTGTCTGACCTCCTCAATCATTCACCAAGATTGTCTGACCTCACTCAATCATTCACCAAGATTGTCTGACCTCCTCACTCACTCACCAAGATTGTCTGACCTCCTCACTCACTCACCAAGATTGTTCCACCTCACTCAATCACTCACCAAGATTGTCTGACCTCCTCACTCACTCACCAAGATTGTTCAACCTCACTCAATCATTCAACAAGATTGTCTGACCTCACTCAATCACTCACCAAGATTGTCTGACCTCCTCACTCACCAAGATTGTCTGACCTCAATCATTCACCAAGATTGTCTGACCTCACTCAATCATTCACCATGATTGTCTGACCTTCTGACACACCAAGATTGTCTGACCTCACTCAATCATTCACCAAGATTTTCTGACCTCACTCAATCATTCAACAAGATTGTCTGACCTCACTCAATCATTCAACAAGATTGTCTGACCTCACTCAATCACACACCAAGATTGTCTGACCTCACTCAATCATTCACCAAGATTGTCTGACCTCACTCAATCATTCACAAGATTGTCTGACCTCAATCATTCACAAGATTGTCTGACCTCAATCATTCACAAGATTGTCTGACCTCAATCATTTACAAGATTGTCTGACCTCAATCATTCACAAGATTGTCTGACCTCAATCATTCACAAGATTGTCTGACCTAAATCATTCACAAGATTGTCTGACCTAAATCATTCACAAGATTGTCTGACCTAAATCATTCACAAGATTGTCTGACCTAAATCATTCACAAGATTGTCTGACCTAAATCATTCACAAGATTGTCTGACCTAAATAATTCACAAGATTGTCTGACCTCAATCATTCACAAGATTGTCTGACCTAAATCATTCACAAGATTGTCTGACCTAAATCATTCACAAGATTGTCTGACCTAAATCATTCACAAGATTGTCTGACCTAAATCATTCACAAGATTGTCTGACCTCAATCATTCACAAGATTGTCTGACCTCAATCATTCACAAGATTGTCTGACCTCCCCAGAGTTTTTTCATCCGGTGTACAAAGGACGGGGAGACGTGCATCCCACAGCAGTGCAGCGGTAACTGTGACGTCAAAAAACAGCTCCGGAACCGCTGCCAGTACTGTCGCTACCAGAGGTGTTTGGCCGTTGGTATGTCCAGGAGAGGTAAGGGTCATTCTATCAGTCTGGGTCAAGGCACTCTCTCTCTCTCTCTCACTCTATCTTTCTTCCCTCTCTGTCACGCAGACACACACACACATTTGTTGTTGCGCTTAAATTTGTAGCTAAACATTAGGAAAAATATTAGAAATGCCAAACGAATCTTTGAAACAACACATAGCATTATATCCAGGGGCCTAAATGTTGATTACACATATCTTTGACTTTACATAAGAAAAATACCAATCACCTTAGCTAACTATCTGTAGCACACAGCTGCAGAGATCTTGCCCCATGACGATTGATGTAGAGACTGGAATAGATCTATTTCTGTTATGAGTTGAGCTAAAGAAAAGCATGTCCTGACATTGTGACATGTCCTATGTCCTGACATTGTGACATGTCCTATGTCCTGACATTGTGACATGTCCTATGACCTAACACTGTGGCATGTCCTATGTCCTGACATTGTGACATGTCCTATGTCCTGACATTGTGACATGTCCTATGTCCTAACATTGTGACATGTCCTATGTCCTGACATTATGACATGTGACATGTCCTGTGTTCCAGAGAAGCCAGAGTCCGTGCTGCCACTGGAGGGCCAGGAACTGTGCCGAGTCTGTGGAGACCTGGCTAATGGAATACATTTTGGCGTGTACACCTGTGAAGGATGCAAGGTATTTATCCCCCCCCCCCACCACGGTCCCACATTCCCCTAGTGTAGGTATCAGACCCTCGACTTTCCTTGCTTTAATGTTATGTTAACTTTAGCTTTAGTTGGCAGCTAAATCTTCTAACTGCACTAAGTTCCAGCGATTCCTTATTATTATGTCCACGGTATTTTTCATCGCCTCTTAGTTTCTAGAACCTGACATTGTGTCTTTAACTTTAATAAAGTTTGTCTTAATGTCTAGCTACCAATGCTGCTTTGCTCGCTAATGTGCTGGAGCAAATAGGCTAAAAATAGTGTCCGCGAATCCGGTCCTGCAAATTTTAATCCTCTATCATTCTTAAAAACCCATATACGTTTCATATTTATTGCATTACATATTATGTGTCGTATACTAAAAATAACGAAACAGACTAATTTTCTACAAGACTTATTGTAATATGACTCTCTTAATACCCAAATAAAGTATGGTTTACAGTACTTCCGGTGAATTCCGGAAGTGTGTGACAGACTTTGGCATTATTTTACTGTTTTTTACTGCTATACGATTCCGGAATAATAACCGACGCTAAACTAAGGTTTTACCGAGTTTTTAAATTTTAAGTTAAAATTAATACTTGATTGTCTTTTATTTTGCTTACAGAAATTTTTCCGTAGGGGACTAAAGGAGCACGAAAGCTACGCCTGCAAAGATCAGAAAATGTGCAGGCTAAATCCCAGAAACCGAAATAACTGCCGCTACTGTCGTTATCAGAAGTGTTTGCTAGTCGGCATGTCCAGGGAAGGTAATTCGTCTGAAATATTACTGTTGAATAGATAAGTGTTTGTTTTTATATGGTGCTTGTATAAAAATTGATTTCAAAACAAATATTTATTTGTGCGTTAAGGTCAAATGAAATATTTTGCCATACACGAATCAAATATTTTACTATTCGTTACTATCTCTTAGCAAACATAAATCATGTGCGTTTTTCCTTCATGTTCGAAATATCTTCTTTTGTCTAGCAATAAAAATGGGTCGACCTAGAAAACTCTACCCTAGTCGGTGTGGCCTTCAAGTCGACTGTGTTACGCCCTCCAACGGGTTGCTCAGCGAAAGACAACTAATTCAGTCGAGCACATTTTTTGATGACGCACTACACATGTCTAAATATAGCATCGGTACAGGCAATGATCAGTTTCATGTACAAGTGGATGTCGTTTCTCAAGCCTATGACCATAATCCTTATGGCAGTGATTATCATAATTTAAAAATGAAACATACATCATCACGCTATGGCTATGATATACAAACCTATCATGTTCGTACTGATCGTCTTACTGGACAGAGGGGCGACGCTCCTGCATGCTATGGCCATCATAATATACACAGAAGTCACGTACCCTCAGACAATGACAATTTTCATGCTGTGAGTAGCGTACCCCACGTGCCCCATGCGATGGTCCAAACAAGCAACTCCAAAAGTGTAATCTCTCCACCCTCGTCTGCCTTACTCGCAGTAGGTCAGCGTGACCTTAGGTATCGCTACTTCTCGGACAACTCTCATTTTTTAACGCCCCCATTTTCAGGCACAGAGATGTCTCAATGCCATGAACACTACACACCCCCTACTGGAGCCAGCCATTATGTCCCACCTCTCACCCAGAGCCACTCACACATCACACCCTCACACATCACACCCTCACGGGTGTATCCTTCCACCCTAACCTCACAGACAGCTCCGCTACCACTGCGGCCAGCGATCCTAGGAGCGAAGTTCACACCTCCACACAGCCAGCCTCCACAGGGCACAGCCACCAAAAATCTACCAACGCCGGATGTGCCACACCCATCCAGATATTTTAACTATAACAGATCGAAACTAAGTACCGAAACACACCGAGAAAGATATGGAAGCAAGAACTTTAAAAAACGAGTTAAAAGGTTGACACAAGCAAACACACGCAGCAGTCCTTGTTCTATTAATGTGAACTCGACAGAACTGATGAGGAGAATGCCGTCTTTGTTGCAAGTCAGTGACATTTCAACGAGAGGCTTGCCGCACAATCTGGTGCAGACGACCGGCTCGGCTCTACAGACGCCATGTTTAAATGTAATAAAAGCAGAAGACATTGTACCGACAGAGCACTCACAACGACACAGCCAAACGTCTTTACTACAGGGCGATAGCCAAACGTCTTTACTACAGGGCGATAGCCAAACGTCTTTCCTACAGGGCGATAGCCAAACGTCTTTCCTACAGGGCGATAGCCAAACGTCTTTCCTACGGGATAACAGCCAAACGTCTTTACTACAAGAAGCCGACAAAGTTATCAAATGTGAAGACGTTTTAGATTTAAGGGTAAACGCTAAGTCGGCACAATCTTACACTGTCGAGTCCTGTAGCCGACAAGGCAATCGTAAGACCTGTAGCAGACTAGAGAATCGCGAAGAACAGGAAACTAACAAGAGATTAAATTCTTCTTCTTGGGATTATGGACAACCCCGCTCCAAAGTTCCTAAAATAGAACTCGAAAAAGCCAGTTTTTCTTTACCCAACACTCCACTCTATTCAAATATATCTACACATGAACTGCTGGCAAAAACATGTACGAAATCACAAGATACACAATCGTTTACAACTGGCAGTGAAGTGTCAAACAAAGATTCCAAAAGAGCAGATACTGCTATTATTAAAATGGAATTGCTCGAAAACGCAAATGACTACGAGAACGAATGGGGTCATACTAAAAACGGCCCCAGCCAAGTTTCCACACACGTCCCTAAAGCTGATGACAGTTTCGCTAGCTCTGCTGGGTCTGTGTTTACACCCGTTGAGGAACAAAAAATAACACACACGATTTGCTCACCACACGAACTGACCCAAACTAGAAGCTCTGCATCAATATCACTTGATGTGGACCCGGCTGACCCAGGGGCCCGACCCACAGACCCGCCTCCAGATGTCATCCAATCAACTCAACACAACTGGGCTCCCTCAGACTCAGGCAGCGCCCCGGCCACCCAGAGAGCTGACAGAACAATAGACACGGAGCACGGAGCTAAGCGTTTTGACCCCTACACCAATGAACAAACTCTGGTGTACATCAACGAAATGTTCTTGGTGGTCGACACACTAATGGACACAATCATGGCCAACACGCACAAGACCAAAGGGAAACAACCCTCACAGCTGGACACATTGGATACCATGTTTACAGACATTTACGGTTACTCGCCCTTGAAGGTAATCATATCTTTAGTTTGAGGGGATACGGCTTGTTTTGTTTTTTCCAGATTTTAATGTTGAATAGACACCACGTCATTCAAGATAATCAATCACACGTTTTGTTGTGGAGGTACGGCTTGCTGTTTTCAGATTTTACTGATGAATAGATAGCATTTAAAAAATTTATATTGCAGAAGTTTGTATATCATCAAAATAATGTTACACTAAAGCTTAAATGTCTGTCTTTAAAAAAAGTGCTATCTACGCAGTTCATCAAGGTCGTTAAAAAACATGTAACGTAACAGTTCCAGATAGGTCGCCTTCAAAACAACGAAAATACAACTAGCACAATGTTTCACTACAACTTGCCAAAGATAACGTTGCGTTAAGTAAGATTTAACTTCACCACTGACGAATTCGTTTTGTACTGATGTGTGTGTGTGGGGAGGGGATTAAAAAAAGAAACAGGGTTTGAGTGAAACAGGCTAAACATTAGCCGCGTTTCTTTAATTTGGTATTAAGAAAACATTTAACATTTCGTTTTCAGATTGTTAATAAACATGTGTTTTAGCCGAAATGTAAGCAACTTCATCAATAAAGATTTAGTAAACATAATGTGCCCGAAAAATACAACCTAACCCATTTTTCCGCACCAAGCTATTTCTGCACACTTCAAAGGCCTCGGTCGTCCCGGCATAATGGAGCCTAAAAATAGTTTTCCGCTTGGATAACTTATGAAATCATAAAAAGGTTCTTTAAAGCGTGCAACAGTTTGGTGGGCATCTATGTGGGCCCTCGGTAACACGCCGGTACGTACATAGACTTTTGTTGCCTAGATGTGTCACGTGTAACCCAATCAGTTATCCCAACTGTTCTTGTAGCCCAGCCTGTTATCCCAACTGTTCTTGTAGCCCAGGTCAGTTATCCCAACTGATGATGTAGCCAAGTCAGTTATCCCAACTGATGATGTAGCCAAGTCAGTTATCCCAACTGTTCTTGTAGCCCATTCAGTTATCCCAACTGATGATATAGCCCAGTCAGTTATCCCAACTGATGATGTAGCCCATTCAGTTATCCCAACTGATGATGTAGCCCAGTCAGTTATCCCTACTGATATAGCCCAGTCAGTTATCCCAACTGTTCTTGTAGCCCATTCAGTTATCCCAACTGATGTTGTAGCCCAGTCAGTTATCCCAACGGATGATGTAGCCCATTCAGTATCGTATGTATCTAGTTCTGAAACCATCCCCTTATATAGAAAAGACCATAAGCACAATGTGACCAATGACATAACATTAACAACAGATAACGTTATTTCACCTTATATTGGACCTCGGGAGAAGCCTGATCATTCCCTGCACTTTTTGTTTGTTTTAATGTGCCGCCTCTTTCCGCGATAACCTACCAAGCTTGGCCGAAATTACGTTTTGGTGCATCTGAACCCCATCTTTAGATAAGTTTCTTGGACTGCAGGTTTTTTTTTCTCTGCAGGTGACACATTTCTGGAAAAGCCTATTTTCTTATGTGCCTAATGGAAAAACACGACGTTGGCAAGATAATTTGACTCCACGCCAAGAAGAGTGGCTGAGAATTATTACAGATAACTATAGTAACCAAGTGGCATCATGTGACGAAGATTTAAATCCGCCAACAATAAACACAAATCAGGTAGGTCCCACGACAACGAATTGATTTGCCGTTACCACGTCACAGAAGGTAGGGGGGCATCCAATTATGACGTCCACGAAAATTTCGGATTTTAGAACCCACTCCCCCCTCGTCCACACGCGTCTACTTTGACCGACCCCCCCCCCCCCCCCTCAATGTGGACATCCACAAAAATTTAATAGACCTCTCTAAACTTACTACCAATTTACTATTAATCAGGGACATGTATTGTGTACCTATTTACTGATTTTATAGATGACCCAGGTGTAGGTGTAAATCCAGTGCTTTATTAACACGCTGCGATGTTGTTGTTTTAATTTCACGTTTTTTACATTTTGCACGCAGGAACAGAGTTTTATGTTTGTTTTAAATTGTAAACACGTCGGTGTTAAATTCAACCTGTGGACATCCACATGGACCCGACCTCCACCCCTCCCCCCACCCCCACCCCCACCCCCAGTCCACAAAAGTCGATAAATGGATGACCCCTAGAGATAAAAAAAAATAATCTAAGCTATGTATCTCTTTTATTACAGAGGGAGGTTTGGCCGGCTCGAGGTGAGGATTTGGATCATTGGAAACATTTTCAAGAAAGAGTTGCCAGACAAACCTACGCAGAAGCTCAGTTTGTTCTGAAGTTGCCAGGTAAATTAAGGGGGGGGGGTGAAGTATTAATGTTAATGGATTGTCGCCCTTAAATCGTTGGGTTTTTTTTTTCTTCTTCTTGATTTACAAGACATTTACTAATTCCATTGTAAAAAAAATATATTCAGATATTGAGAGAATTCACCCTAAAGATCGTGTTAAGCTAGGCAGCAACAGTCGTTTGTTTGGAAATACAATCCTTATGGCATCGAGAGAGTGGTTCGATCCAGTGAGAAAAAAGTTTAAATTCTTCTGGAACTGGAAACTCTCACAAGACCACCCACTTGCACCATTCAGGAATCGGATAATTAAAACTGGAAGCCACATTTTCAACTTGCACATGGACAAAACAGAGGTGGCTGTCCTGTCTTCTCTCAATATAATGAGTCCAGGTACTGTAACTGGTCGCAATACTTTAGTTTAGAGCCATAAGTTTCAATATAAGTGTGTTGGCAAAAGACTATCAAAATCTTTTGTCTACTCAAAAAAAAAAAATAGTCTTTCATTATTTTCAAAAGAAATAAAAACTAAAATAAAATGAATAAGAACTAGATTTGTTCTTTTTACAAATTTAGTAATCATGGAAAAATAAAAGTTTGTGGACATTTTTTTTTTTAAAAAAAAGTTTTTTTTTTGTTGAAATACATGATACAAGATCTTGTTAAATAGCTGAAGATTGTAATGGAGCTTATTTATACTAAGAGTAAAATGTAGATTTCTGATGTTTCAGAAAACTCAACATTCCAAAATTTGCCTCAAATATGGGACCACAACCACACACTGATGAAGATTCTTGCTCACTATTTAATTTGTAAGTACACCCAGTTGTTCTTCTACTTCAATATCTTGAGGAGAATTAGACAGATTGTGCAATAAAACTGACTGACCCAGCCAGTAAAGTAAGGTTCCACTCGTACAACTTCAGCTAGCTTTTTTACTTGTCTTGTAATCGTGCAAAAAAAAAAATTTAAAAAAAAAAATCGAAATTTTTGCAAATCTCGACGTTTTAGGGCTCCCTGAGTCGGAAAAACATTGTTTTGCAATCTTGTCCGTATGTCTGTGTGTGTGTGTGTCTGTGTGAGTGTAAACACGATAACTTGAGTACCGTTGATGAAATTTCATATATAAGTATTACATGAAAATCGTAGATCAGTATCAACTTTTGAGCAATTTCCGATAACCGGAAGTGGAACTTTTCTACTTGGAATTTTTCAAAAGGCTATAACTTGAGCACTATTTCAGATAGATAAATGAAATTTTACACGTAAGTAAAAGATCTAATTCTCTGCCTTCTTTCAAATTTTGAGTAATTTTAATCGACCGGAAGTAGTAATTTACGCTATTTCCAATTTCTCAAAAAACACATGTGAATTTATAAAGTTCTAATAATATCCCCCACTATTATGCACATACTGTTTTTCGTTCACTTGGTGTGCAATTCTTTTTTCTAGGAGATTTTATTCTGTTTTAAAAAGTTTAAGTAATTAAATATTATGTCTATATCGTGATGTGCCCTCTCCCGTAGTGTTATGTATGAATATTCGAGAAAGTTTAGGGGAGATCACTCCCGGTTTATTACGCTATAATATAAATTATATTATAATAATATTATGCCCAGAAGTCGCTCCTAGATGACATTACTTGGTGCGCAATTCTTTTTTGTTACGAGATTCTATTCTATTATAAAAAGTTTAAGTAATTAAAACTGGATTTAAAATATTGTCTATGTCCCGAGTTGCCATCCCCCGTAGTGTTATATAGAATAGTCGAGAGAGTTTAGTCGAGATCACTCCCGGTTTATTAACAATGTATTTACTGCAATCACATTGTAGCGAGCAAGACAAAAAAAATTGAACACTGTCTCGTCCTCAGCCATTAAAGTTGATCCAGATGAACGAATCCCTGAATTGTTGTCTGTGATGCCAAAGGTCAGACACATGAGCATGTGGTACTCAAACGTGATACGAAATATGAGAGCTGACCCTAGCAGTATGGACAGGACCCTGCAGGATCTACAGAACTCTGGGAACAGACCTCCCAACATGGGGGCATTAAATAAAGGCTAGATCACCTTTGACATGTACTGGGGGGGGGGGGGGGAAGGGGAAAGAGGAGGCGCTGGCTGGTAATGTAGACCTACTCACAGTGGAAAAACAGAGGCTACATCAGTTGTGCTGTGCATGGTGATATAGATTGTTAGAGATTAAAACAGAGGCGTAGTGACCCTTCCCGGCGCCCGGGGACATACTTTCAATTTGGCGCCCCCTTGGGAGCAAATTTTCGATTTGCACCCCCCCCTCGAACTTTTCATTTGCACCCCCCTCAAACTTTCAATTTGGCGCCCCCCTAAGGTCGGCGCCCGGGGACATATGTCTCCCCCCCCCCCCCCCCCCCCCGCTACGCTACTGGATTAAAACTAGGTGACGACTACTTGTCTGACCAACAATAATCATACAATATTTACTGTGACAGACTGGTTAGAGGGGAGATAATTCAGCAAATCCTATAAAAAGATTTTAACACAACACAATTGTCACATGCTTGGCCACAAATAATACTTAAGTTTTTTCCTCTAAAACTTGATGAACAAAGTGCAATATTAAAAATTGTATTTGTTAACTTAAAGTATCACCAAACTGCTATTGTTGTTTACATATATTTATTTGCAATGTTTTGGATTTGTAAAACTTGTGAATACATTTGAAAAAATGAATGTTTAAAATACATTAATTAACATCTTCAATATTAGTAGAATTTTGTTTATTAGTTAACTCAGTCATCAAATTAAGAAAAATTACCTTAATATGTGACTGAATATTCATAATATTTACGAAATAAAAGCCTTGCATTTTTGTTTAACAGAAACAAACAAAATTATTAACTTCAACCGAAACAAACAAAACAATATCTTCTACCCAATAAACAACAAACAAATTGCTAATTAATTATGATAATGACAAGATTTCATAGACATCACGGAATCCTAATCAGGTTTGAGTAAATTATATTGCAAATCTTTGTTAAAAAAAGTATTTTAATCCCAACAACAGTGAAGTAATGTATTTAATATGCTGAGAAAATTATGTTCAGGAATCATAAATATGTGGTCATTATGTTATACAAAGTTATCTCATTATGAGAAGTTAACCTATTGTAAAAAAAATAATGTTTTAAAATGATTAAACAACAATCTTTCAAAACGATAAATAAAAAGCTAAAATACTTCCATTTTTAATAACTTAACAATTAGATATAAATGCTGATAAAACAAAAGTCAAAATTTCTCTTGCACAATAAAAAATTTAAAATTCTTGGTGGAGTATAATCAGTCCAGTACTACATAACACTGGCTAAAAGTTCTGGACAGCAGATAAAATATTAGGCAGTTTGTGTAATCAACTATTTACAACTTGACTTATTAGGCCAATCCAAACTAAAACTTTAATATTAGTCAATTAATCTGAAGCACAACTCCAAAGCTAGTCTTTCAGAGCCCAAAATGGCATAAAATATGTGCATCTACACATGATGTGTCAACAAATCCCAGACTTCTAAAGTCTTGAAAGAGAATGGTTTTCACCTAAAATATTTCTATAAACTATCAACAACCTCCACAACTGCTATGAATTATCTCCAGCTGGATCATCACAAGGTGTGTAACTCATATAATCATCCACTTCAACAGGTTCACTGTTATCTGTCTTTAAATTACTTCCCTTGTTCCTTTCTTCTTCAGACAAGAGGTCAATTCCTTCCATTCTCCATCTAAGTATTCGATCAGAATGAATGTCTCTCGAAGGGGAGTCATTGGAAATATAATCTCCATCAGAATCAAAGTATTTTTCTTCAGCATCGTGTCCAACAATATCTAAAGAATCATAGTCTGTATTTGTATCTACATTACTGTGGAAAAGAATAAATGTTCATTAATAATTTAATCAGAACACAATTAAACAGAGCAGAGATCTTAGAATAAAAATTAAACCTGTAGTCAAAAGCTGAGTCCTCTCCAGACAAAAACCTCTCTTGCATGATCCGGAGAAATTCTGTTTTCAAGAAAGATCTTTCCGTTTCAGATATTTCTTCATTATCAGCATTTTCTTCTTAAAAATATAATAAAAATAAAAAGGTTTGATATAGACAAAATATATTTCAAACTTTGATTGGAAAGTATAATCTAATAGTATAGCTAAAGCACTATTTCAATGTTAGAAAAAGATTTTAACAATGCAAACCATGCGCTGAAAAAAGCATTTTAAAAATCAGAATTTTTTTTTAGAAGTTATAAAACACACAAAAATATATTTTCTTACTTGACTGTTTAGCTTTATTTAGATTGTTATCTTCATCCATATCATCATCTTCTTCAGTATCCTCTTCTTCTTCTTGCTCTTCCTATTTTATTCACAATAATTAGCAAGATGTAAGCTTATGGAAGTAAAATACAACTTCAGCTTGTAATTAATGTTGAGAAAAGTTATTTTAGAAATGTAATTTATTCAATTCCTATATAATAATTGAAGAAATAATTAGTACAACAAATGAAAAAGAACTGACCAATTTAGTCATGGGATGATGGCATGTAATCAACATTAAAAAAATCTAACAGTTGACTGTTTCCCTCTGGTAATTTTAATCTATGCACAGAGAACTATAAATGCAAATAAACTGACCTCTTTTTCTTTGAGAATTTCAAAGTATTGTTTATTAGCTTGAGTATCCATATGTTTCAAAAGGATGGTAGAGAATTTCAAGTCACTTCTATCAATTTCTTGTTCCATTCTGTCAGTTTTTTCAACATCATTCTCATACTGACCAACCTACAGAACAAAAATGTAACAAAATATGTATTAAATACAAATAAAACAAAAACACTGTACGAGTGCTCAATGTAGTTAGACTGGATGATTCAAAGATGAAGTTTACATTACAAACAAATGGTTCAAAAATTAACTAAAATATAGTCTAAGCCTACCATTTGTTCATAAAGTAAAGGATCTCTCCATTTCATTTCATCTTCAGAGAAATATTCTCCAACATCCATAAGCTCTTGCATTGCTCTGTACCTTCTATTTTTAACAACCTTTTTACTTGTATCAGTACAGCGTTTTAGAATTTCTTGAACATAAAAGTCAACCCGATAATCCTCCTTCTTGTCGACAAAAAATTTGGTGTCAGGAATGGTAAGATATTTGGAAAAACGTTCCAAAAATAATGCTGGATTGCGCTGAAGAACATCAAGAGCAATGATAGATTTCTCTTCCAGTGTAAGATCTGGTTCTCCACGTTGCTGGTGCTTGAAGTGAGCATCTGTCTGAACAAGTCTGGCTATCATGTCATCCCGTATCATGGTTGATTGGCTGCTTTCTGAGATATTCTCTTCAGCCATTATGAACAAGAGGGCCTACAGCAGGTTAAATATTAGACAGCTCAGAAATCCTCAGGGGAGTTAGGAGGAATCATGGATATGTTTAATTCTAGAAAGGAAAAAAACAATTTGGTTGCATCTGATGAAAACATCGCTAGTTTTTAATTATTTAAACATAAAAATTGTGGGGAGAATGTTTACACTACACAAGTGTCCAATAATGGAATCTTCTTTAAAAAAGGGGTGTTGGGTTACTGGTAGTTAACCAAATACACACATGGCTGGCTAATGTCAATGCTAACCCTGTCCCTAATTCCCAACCCTGGTCCTACCATATGCCTAACCCTAAATAAATTTCAAACCATAAAATTAAAATTAGTCGAGATTACAACTTTTTAAAGACAATTCTACTATCGGACACCGGTATCTAATCTATAAATTAATCATCCGAATCGAGCTACTAATTTCTGAGACTAAAAGCTAGATCTAGCCTCGACCGATTTACGTACCTAGTCAAGTTAGTAGCTAGATCTAGACCTAGACTAGTATTTACTATTTATTCTACAGTCCTAGTCCTAGAAAGTCTATCTAATCTATCACTATCTAGATTCTAGTATCTACCTAGATCTAGTAGAAATCTAGTATCTATTCTTAGATTCTAATACATTCTATAAATATAATAGTATAGTGATTAGTAGACAGATTAGTTAAGTTAGTAATAATATTAGATTCTAGATTCACTATATTCTATAGTTAGTATAGTATCTATAGTAAAAATAGTTGCCATAGGATAGACATCATAATTTATTAATATTATTTAATTTAATAGTATAAGTACTAAAGTACTAAAAGTAGGTATAGGATAGGCCTAGGGCGGCTAGGCCTACAGTTACTACAGTCAGTTACACGTACTACGTAAATTTAGTAGGCCCTATACTAAAATCAGTTAAATGTCTAAATTATTAAACATTACTATAACTATTATTAGATGTAGGCCTAAATATTAAATATTGGTAAAATCACGATATAGCGTCGGTTATTATTCCGGAACTGTACAGCAGTAAAAAACAGTAAAACCATGGCGTAGTCTGTCGAGCCGTTCCGGAAACCACCGGAAATACTGTAAACAATCATTTATTTGCCGCCATATTATTTTTAGTACATAATGTTTAAAAATGTGCAAGGATTGATTTTAGTTGCGTTTTAAATACTGTTTTGCTAATTATTTTGTATTTCTAATTATTTTAAGTGTATGTGCTAATTATTGCTGCTACTAAACATTATTCTAGTTATTCTTACTACTTTTAACTTTAGTTAATCTAGCCTAATCGTCTTATTTACTAACATAACTAGAGGTGGTTGTCGCAAATCTTCTGCAGGTTTTTTCTGTTTCTTAAAAAAAACATTAATTACTACACTCGACTTTATTAATAATATTTAGATTTACTAATTTTGCTAATTTTTCGTCAGTTAAACATTAAATTAAGTTAAAACATTAATTTAATGCACTTGACTTTATTTTTCTTTCACCGGTCAAATAAAGTATGGTTTACAGTAACGAATGTTACCGAAACTCAACGAACATTACCCAATAATTTCCGACGCTATATCGTGATTTTACCAAAATCACGATATAGCGTCGGTTATTATTCCGGAACTGTACTGCAGTAAAAAAAACAGTAAAACCATAGCGTAGCCTAGACTGTCGAGCCGTTCCGGAAACCACCGAAAATACTGTAAACCATCATTTATTTGCCGCCATATAATTTTTAATACATAATGTTGAAAAATGTGCAAGGATTGATTTTAGTTGCAATTTAAATACTGTTTTGCTAATTATTTTCTATTTCTAACTATATTAAGTGTATGTGCTAATTATTGCTGCTACTAAACATTATTCTAGTTATTCTTACTACTTTTAACTTTAGTAAATCTAATCGTCTTATTTACTAACAGAACTAGAGCTGGTTGTCGCAAATCTTCTGCAGATTTTTTGTTTCTTAAAAAAAACATTAATCACTACACTCGACTTTATTAATAATATTTAGATTTACTAATTGTTGTTAATTTTTTGTCAGTTAGGCCTAAACATTAAATTAAGTTAAAACATTAATTTAATGCACTTGACTTTATTTTTCTTTCAACGGTCAAATAAACTATGGTTTACAGTAACGAATGTTACCGAAACTCAACGAACATTACCCAATAATTTCCGACGCTATATCGTGATTTTACCTAAATATTATCCTAAATGTTATTGGATGTAGATCTAGATCTAGCTCTAGATTAGATCTAGATTCTAGATCTAGATCTAATAGTAATAACAAAACGAAAGTAGATTCTTAGGCCTATCTAATCTATCTATCTGCATTTACTTCCGATCAGGGGTCTAATTGGACTAATGGGCACTTTAAAGTTTTGTCTATTTCGCTATTTCGTATCTATTAAACTGTTTTTTTAGTAGGCCTAATAGTCAATGTATTTTTCTTTTTAGTTATGCTAATTTCATTTTCTCTTATTGCTATATTTATATTTAATTAATTAAAATGTGTTAAAGTCGTGTTCAGTGAATTAATCTAAAATGAAACTGATTCGAAAGATTTTAGCTTACAGTCAGTGCCTTACATTACAGTACCTATACAATGTATACTGTTTTAAAAAAAAAAAGTTCGAAGGTAGGCGGAGATTAACTTGTCTAATTAAGATCTGAACACGGCATTGAATTGTGAACAAATACAACAATAACGCTCAGCATTTTAAAGCATAAATTCAAATTAGATTACTTAAAATTACATTATATAGATCTAGACTCTATCTGTAAATTTTTGTTCTGGCATCATTGATCTTAAAAAAAAATGTCCACCGACGAAGAAGATTCGAAGGTAAAGTAAAAGTCACGCTGTTCATTTTCTTTTTGAATGATTTTTTTTATTCTATCTATCTAGAATAGCCATGCCCGCTGAGAGGAGTTGGACCATTATTAATTAATATATCGTTTATGTAGGCCTAGATCATATAACATATCGACCGAAGCTAGAATCTAGTATAATAAGTAATCATCATTTAGAATCTAGTAATGTGACACTCAGTGACAGACAGAATGATGACTAAATTTTAGTAGGCCCCTAATTTAAATTAAACTAGAATACCCGTCATCCCTTGGATAACTGTGGGTTTCGGGGGTCATCCATCAAAAAACATCACGTCTGTCACTCAGAGGCATAGCGAGCCTTCCCGGCGCCCGGGGACAAACTTTTCGATTTTAACCCCCCCCCAAGATTTCGATTTTCAACCCCCCCCCTCAAACTTTTGATGTGCACCCCCTCCCCCCCCCCCACTCAAACTTTCGATTTGAACCCCCCTCAACCTTTCAATTTATTTTTCCAAACCATTTTGGCGCCCCAACATACGTCCCCCCCGCCCCCCCCCTTCACCTCCCCCCCCGCCTTCCCTCCCCCCCCCGCCTCCCTTTCCCCCCCCCCCCCCCCCGCCCCCCCCCTCCTCGCTACGCTACTGCAGTGTCACTTATCGTCACAAAAACAGAGCCCACATTCAAAAATATGTTTCTTATCTTTTAAAAACACCGAAAACACCGATTTCGGACTATCCCTTCATATACTGACGTCACATGTGACCTACTCAACTCTACTTCACCTGCCCAGTGTCCCGCCAAGTCTCAGACAACATGTTTTTATCGTTTAAAAAACGATTCCAGCCGAGCATGTCTCTGACCACACTATCCTTTCATATGGTTAGGACAAAGAAACAGATGAACTCTACTTCACCTGCCCTGTATCCTGCCAAGTTCAGATAGGCAACTTTATCATTAACATCTAAAAAAAAAAAATTGAAAAAAAATATCATTTTTTATCATTAACATCTAAAAAAAAAAAAAAATTGAAAAAAAATATCATTGACATATTGATCTAGAACCTGTACCACTCGCATGAGAGCGGACTACGCTACAAACTTAGCTATTTACTCGTGACGTCACAAATGAATTTTTATACTATACTTTGATGCAACTTGATTTCGAGCGTCTAGTCTAGAAGTAGTAACTTTCAAATTAAATTTTATCTTAAATTAGCCAAACAAAGATTTATATAAAATAATTAAGGCCTGAAATAGATTCTAGATTTATTAAGGCCTGAAATAGATTCTAGATGTAGAATTTACATTAAGTCTAGATTTAGAATTTACATTGAGTTTAGTGACCTAGATCTAGATCTAGATCTAGGCTAGATTCATAAATTTCCTTCGACAGCTGATCTTTAGATCTAGAGAAATTTATTGTAAAACTAAATGAAAAAAGACAGTTGAAAATTGATATAAGTGTTGGAACGTAATAAATACAGCAAACGGACGTATTGTTAAAGTTATGACCGACAGAAAATTAGATTTAGAACGCGTTAAACTTTGGAATGGGAACACAATTTTCTTCGGTAGACGCCGCCATTTTATTGTACTAAAGAGTCAACAAAAAACTCTGACGTCACTATCAAGGGACGTCACTATCCCCACAAAGTTTATTCAAAGTATTAACATTTTTAAAAAAATACGGTTAATTTAACAATGAATAAATCAATAAATTAATTAACGTCTTTAAATAAATGTGTGATTAACAGTCTGTCTTAAAACAAAAATTTTTCTCTACCTACATACTATTTTACAGCTATCCAGATTGAGTCGAACATATCACAATAGTCGATCAGGCAAACAAACAAACAAACAAAAAAACAAACAAAAAAATAAATATTCAAACATGTAAACAAACTTGACTTTTAGTAGTATATAGATTTAGATCTATAACAATTTCGCAATTTTACGAGGATTCGTTCTGTTAAGGATAAGTCAAAGGGTCGACTCAAAATAATAAAAATATCGTCCTCAATTTTATTAGAACTTTTCAGTAATAAATAAAGATTAGCGTGAGGTGTTACTTCATTTTGGGGGGGGGGGGAGGTAAAAAAAATCATCAAAAAAAATGATGATGTGCTTTTATCATAGATGATCCCACTTGACTGATTTTTCAAATTTACCTCTGTCTCTTGTTAATTTAAAATTAGTATCATAGGCCTATTAATAATAATTTCAAATACACAAAAAAACGTATTTTCAAAATCTACTAGCTAAAAATATAACCTAGTGCAATTACTTTTCATTCTCTTTCATTTTTGTCATTAAAAAAATTAATGTGAAAATCAACTTTATTTTAATATATAAACACTTGGCTGCACAAAAACTATACAAAATGAGTTAAATAAACCACTTGTGGCTCTTATTTTTATAAAGAAATTGTGATTTAATTTTACAAATACATTTTTTATGAATGTTTGAAAAAAAGCATAGGCCTACCATCTAATTTCTAACAGAAACAAGCCTGCACAATTATTGATGCGAATTTACATAAAAGAACCACCCGTTTCAAAATAATAATAGGCCTATATCATTAGAATTCAAAATTTTTTGCAAACTTATTTTATAAAATTTTCGTTTTTGTTTCCCCACTTGCTTCATTTTTTACAGAGCTTATATAAGACTTTACATTTTAAATAGAAACAAAAAGTATTTCTCCTCTCCTATTAAAGCTAGAAATATAAATTCTTAATCCTTCCTTTAAGTAAATCATATGTTTTTGGATAAAATGCTAAAAAATTCCTTTTTTTTTCTACTAACTAGCCTATAATAAAAAATTATAATTTATTACTAATTAGGCATAGGCACTATACTACTTGACTACAGACTCTATACTATAGGCCTAATAATAGTGGATGGTTGAAGATAGATACTGATGTCCGATAATAGACAAATGTCGCTCTCAAACACTTCCTGTTTAAAATTAATTTCTGGCCTATAGGCCTAATTAGTATTAGTGTAATATAATATTATATAATATATATGGATATATTTAATTTAGACAATGCATTTGGTTTATTATATAGGCCTATTTGACACAAATATTATTTTCCTAATATAGTCTACTTGTATTAAAGCCCTACTAATTATTAATGAGTTACCTTTCTTCTGCCGATTTTTACCCACCTAAAAGGATCGATTACCTAATAATTTTATTATTGATATGTTTTCATTTCGTCAAGTTTCCACAGCCACTAAAATAAAACAAGGGCCCTATGTTAATTATTAATATTAGGCTAGCCAATTACTATTTTTACTATTAGCATAGTGTTATTAATATTACAATAATACCGGACCCTAGGAAATAATTAATTATAGGCCTAATGTGTAAGTATATATAAATAGTGAATCGTAAAGTTGCCTTTTGGACCTGGTGAGCCACATGGCAGGTCCAGACAAATTAACCTGTTTCTGTGATCTCAGCATATAAAGGTATAGTGTGGTCAGCACTATGCCCAGCCGCTTTTACTTTCCCTAACGCGATTTAGGTACCCAAATTCGAACTCGAGACTTGTAGGTTAGCACTCCAGCTCTCTACCGGTAGGGCACTCCGTTTCCTTTTTTGGTAACTAAACATTTTTTTTAAAGCCTAACACAAAAACAATTGTTTTAAAATTTGATCTCTGAAAATATAAATAAATAAAGCCCTTTATGTTTTAAAGTAATTGAACCAGACAAAGACTTTAAAAATTGTTGTCAGTTTTGGTAATTGTCACATATTTTCGTTAATACTTGTAGTTTTAGTAAAAATGTGTTGCTTTTATTTTGTTTCAGACATTTTCAATATCTAGAATTACTAGTATACCATGTTTTAGAAAATCATTTTTGTATGGTATTGGTGGAGGCCTGGGTATTGGATTAGCACATTTTCTTTTTACCAGTAAGTATTTCTAAATACTTCTTGTTTGAATCAGTTATTTATAAATTTGTTATTTTATGCCTATTTTCGTTCTTCACTTCTAACTTATTAGTGTGCCCAGATCTATCACCAGTAATATATAGTGATCTTTAAACTTGTTTATTTAAAACTCCTATTTGTGATATGAGTATTCAGTGTTATAGATCTAGTATATTTACAGCTCATGAGCTAAGTCTTATTTGTTGTGAGTTTTCTCTAGGATGTCATGTAGTGCAATGAATTTGTATGAATGTAAATTGCTATACATACCGTAAATTAGTAAATTACTATTGTTTTTTTGTGTGAATTTGTGCATTTTAAAAACCCAAGAAAATTGTTGCACATTTTATTTTTGACCAGGTAATGTTTCCAGAGCAACAAACTTTGGGTTAGGAGGATATCTTTTGGTCTGGCTTGGAACTTGGTAAGTTGAATGAATTATAGTATTTTCCAGCTAATATGTGAGAGGATATATAATTGAATTCCATCCCTTGAAATTACTTGACTTTCATGTTATATATGAGACTCAGAAATAACTTTAGTAATATGGCACCAGTCTATTGTCAGGCTTAACAGTAAAGCTTAATTTTTTATTTCAAGGTAGTAGATCACACCAATTCAACATAAAAATCAGTTCTGTTTTCATTTTATTTTTAGTATCTTTCAGTTTCATTATGAAGTTTAAAAAACAAACATTAAGCGGTGTGGATAATTACTGAATTTAAAACCATCTGGTTTGTGGGCTATCTTTACAGGGGAACCTAGCCAAAGTAACCTGTAGATAACTTCATGTCTGGCCACCTATATGTGCCACATGCCTTCTTCATTATTTTCTGTGTAACTTTTGTTTTGTTTTAATCTTGCAATGTTTCTTGTAGGGGAGTTTGTAGGTATCATAATGCACAGCAAAGGTTTAAGGCACGACAAGCTCAGAAGATGATGAAGGGAAATCAAAATTACAAGTTAATAGATCCAAAGGATATTTAAATGGGATGAATTGTTATATATTTCATATCATGCAATGCTAGAATTGAATAATTGATATAATTTTGTGTCTGAATGTCTTACTTCATGTAGAGAATTTATTAATGAGTACTGTACTTATAGAAGAATGACTTTTTTGTTGTAAATATAATTTTATATATAAAAACACTGTTTTTGTTTTCCTGTATAACATGCTTTACAGCTGTAATTTAAAAAAAAAATTGTCCTTATTTTTAGTAACTAAGGATCGAACCTTTTACAGAACTTTTAAAATAAAGCAAAGTAAACATGCTTTTGCTGGTGCTTCTATCAGGTTGCAAAAAATAGAAATAGGCATTCGAGATATAGAAAAGTTTATTTCCAATGAAATCGCGCATCATATCAGATATCACAAATCATCCATTGTTCTACACGATTACACAGCATTTTAATATTAAAAAAGTAAACTATTCACTGACAGTGTCACAAAGCATTAGTTGACAATGAAATTAATTTTTACATAATTTGACACTCAAACAATACAAAAAATAATGACCAAACAAAACATTCAATTATGTGTAGGAGTGATACTGTTCGTGAAGTTTTGTATGAGCTACATTTACTTGGGTGTTTCAGGACTATGTGGATCATCTTGAGCTTCTAGCTTTTGTGCTAGTAGGGGTGACTTCAATTTTGGAGTAGTTTTAGGTGTGGTTGTCTAATGAGAAATAGAAAAGTTAAGAATTTGTTTTTCAAATGTTAACACAATGCTCACTTGATAGTTAAAGCGAAATTAAACAACTTAAAAGTATTATAATTACAAATAGTTTCATGACTTGTACTAACATTTTACATTACTACAAAAAAAAAATATAAGCACTCACTTTTTTAATTTTAGTGTCATATGCTTGGAGAACTTCAGGAAGGTTAACATTTAATTTTTTATGCTCTGCTATCAAGCGCTTTAACAATGGTTTTGGTGGTTCTATGATGTCTTCAGTAAACAGTTGTAAGCTATCAATGGCTTTCTTCAAGTCACCAACGGCAACTGGGCACCAAGGAAATAGATTTATTACATTATTTGCGTTTTAAAATAGAGTCTATAAAAAGGATTAAAAATGGTCTATACTAAAATTTAGAAATTAATACATTACAGATCCATTGAGCTAACTGAATAAATCTAATTTTCAAGTATGTATATCTTTATATGCTGTGATGGACACAATGTAATTTGGTTACAATCTAACTTAACACTAGGTATAACCAAGTAGCTCTTGCAAAAAAAAAAAAACTCACTGTAGCCATCAATCAACAGTTCCAACATTGCAGATCTACTGACTGGCATATTTTTTGTTATTTCAACTAATGCACTCACACAATCAATCTAAACAAATGCAAAAAATAAAAGTTCTTACAGAACAATATTTAATATTTTCTTTCTGGCTGGCGTTAGTGCTACTTACAAATCTGGGGTTTGTTAAAACCAGAATCGACCCAAGCTATAACGTTATTATATCAATCAAAGATTACTATTTTCATTAACTTGAGGGAAAAAGAAATTGTTTAAATAAAATTGATTTATTTATAATAAAATTACATTTTAACAAAGATTCATTTTGCTGTATAATAAGTTGAGGTTGTGTTTAAGGTAAGTCTAGATTAGCAAGGGAGATAGCCTTCTATATAAAAAAACCCCCTGATTTTCATCATTTTAAGAACTTACTTTTTTAGATTTTATAAAATACTGACAGTTATCAACAAGTATTTTCTGGCTTAGACGTAGTCCTGGAGTCTGAAAACAATTTGAAAGTGAAGTTATTACTCAATGTCTACAGTAGAGGAAAAAAAAAACAATAACACAAAAGGCTCAAAAGAGACCTTTGGAAAACATGGTCACTCTAATGATATTATAGCTAAAAAAAAACAACCTGTAAAATGTAAGCAGCTTTATTTGCTAATCCACACTGAAGGAAAGACATGGCAAGTTGGTGGTGAAAATAATTGCTACCATATACACTTATGCCCAAATCCATGACTGTAAATAAAGTTACAAATTAATTACTATATAAATATTTTGATTGTATCATTAGTAATATAATTAAAGTTATTGCAATAGAAGGTTGAGTTTTTATTTTCAAACAGGGTGTTTATTTAATAAGCAAATACAAGAAAATAAAAATTATTTTCATATATTATGGTGTGGAGTTTCTTCATCAGCTTCAATAGAATACTTTTTTTTCATTTTTATAATACCACAAGTTGATTTTTCCAAACTATCTTATAATATTATATAACTAAATTTTAAAAATTGGGTCACTATAAATTTTTGAATGAATTGAAACAAACATTGCAGAAAAAAACTCTTTAAGACACAACTTACTTCTGTTAAGTCTATCCACATCCTTTTTTTCAATAAACCTTATTAAAACATACTCCAGTGCAGGAAATACACGAAAAGATTCATGCAGCTTCATTAATCGGTTAATTAGTTCATTGTCATCATCTCTTAAAATAAAATAAAAAAAATACCAAAAATTACATAAGTCATATTGTATGTTTAGTTCAAGCCTAGATAGATAAAAAAATAATTGTAATGGTATACTCCACATAACAATACTTATTTCAAGTAATGATTCATTGATTAAAGAAAGGTAATGACTTTGTGACTTCACAAACCACAATTTCTTTGAGAATATTTGATAAAAATTATTTTTATGAATTTTTTATTCATAGAAAGCGTAAAAATTATGCATTAAAGTAGTATTAGAATAAAAAAACTTCTGCTCATTGAAAATCAGCTGCTAAATAGAGTTAAAAAATCCTGTTTTGCATGCCTTTTTACAAAAAAAATTCTTAAATATAATAAATCACCTATTTTACATGTAAACACAACTAAAAATGGCAGCTTTGGCAATATTTTATTAAAAACTTAAATTTTGCAAAATGACCAAGTAAATGTAGAAAATATCATGTCACGAGCATTGCTATACAGTACTGCAGTCCCGTGGAACAGCACAAAAAGTATTTAATATTGTTGTCTGAGGCTTAAATTTAAATAAAATATTTAGCCAACACAAAACTTCAAAATAATTTTAACAGTGCTAAATTAAGCAAATGTATTTACAAGAAAATACAGGTACATACAGGCTGCTTAATCTCTTCACATAGGCATGATGAACTTTCTGCAGTTCTTTCTCTGGGACTATTTTAGCTTTCAAAATGGCACTATGTAGATCACTGGCATCCTGAGCTGTGGGTGCTGCAGCTAACACATTTCTTATTGAACTATTAATCAGAAAACTGTCTGTTTCTTTTTCTGCTTCTGCAGCTAAATTGATCATATCCAAGGCAGCTGCAAAATAGTTAGCACTATTAACTATTTCAACATAAAGGTGTCAAATACTTATCCTTCCTACCATAGAAGTTTTTTAATTTCATTATATATGCACATTTACCTTGAAGATTGTTCATTTTAACATATTCTGCAGCAAACATCACAGGTAAATTAGCACTGTACTTGTTTCCAACTTTAGTTTTACTGGAAGGAGACATTTAGTTAACTAAAATTTGCTACATATTGCTACGTATGTACGTCACTGACTTTTACTATAGACTTACAAGGATGATATCTAAAACTAAAACAAAATATACTCACATTTCTTCAAAGTATTTCAATGCTGTCTCAACATCCCCATGCTGAAGGAGTTTTCTAACAATGTTTACTAAATGTACTTTGTCAAATTTAAAACCTACTACCTGTAGCTCTCTCAATTTTAACTTCATTGCTTCAACATCCTGTTTGTTAAAAGTAAAAAAAATAATCAATATTATCATAGAATTTAAGTAAAATTAAAGGATGTTTGGTTTGTTTTCAATTAATTTTTTTTTCCAAAATGCTGTTCATAATGATACAAAGGATGTAAGGACAGATTAAGAAGATTTTTTATATGATTAAATAGTGTAATCTATTTCAATATACAACTAGCCTTCATTTGCTACACATTTTTAAAATGTTTAATAATATTTATTTTTATATATAATATTTTTATAAATCAAAATCAATGAATTAAGAAACACACATTTTGTGACATGGTAGTTTTCAATTCATTAAGCTGGTCCATAAAACTTATTGACAACCTTGGTACAGGTGGAATAAATGCACCCTGCAACAACAAGCAATAAAAAGTATTATTAAAAATATGGTAAATTATATTATGCCATTCCTTCAGAACTGTTGGCAGATGGAGTAGAGTTCATCAGAAAAAGTCATTGTGTGCCCAGTGCAATGTCAAACTGATTACTTTTTCACACCAGATATCCATCATATACAGGAGGACTTAGGATACCAAGCCTCCTCAAACAAACAGCATTTGACTCACATTTAGAGTTTTGTTTATAGACCAGACCAATTTCAAAAACCCAGTTCCTTTTGCTATGTTTAGTAAATACTGTGGCAAAATAAAGTTCATGTTGTCATTCTTTTTAAAATATTTCTTAAATCTGTGAGTGATGTTAGTTATTCTTTTTTTAAAATACAAGTACAATAAAAAAAAAATATAGTAGTGTACTTACGTAGTCTTCGGGTGGAATGATTTTAAATAATTTCTGGAAAGAAAATAAATTGGACAGTAATGAACTAATAATAGATATGAGTTTAAAAAAGGTTTGTAGTTTGCACATAATTACTTGAAAGGTATTGATAATGGTTATAAAGCCAGTGATGTGAGCAAAGCTACGATTTAAAAATCAAAAATGTAAATACTGCATACCTTGTTTTACACAGATATATTTAGAGTAACAAAACTAGCTGCAAAATGAACTTACTTTCTTGATGTTACTGGATGCATTTTTAACTATTATCAGGTTATGAAAACGTGAATGTAATTTGATTTTCTGTAAACAAACAGAATACCAATGTTATTTGACACAAACAATAATAAAATATCTGCATATACTGTAATATCTAAGAGAAGATATTAAAATGTTAACTGTTGTTTGATCAGACAGGAAAAATATATAATTCAACAAAACTAAAAATTAACAGGCATCAACCTTTTCTATTAAACTGCTGAGGAACTTGTCTGTCAACTCTTCATTATGCAATGAAAGATATTGCCTGACAATTTCTCCAGTAACAAGACATTTCTTTAACTGTGAAACTTTGGATTGTTGAACTTTTTCTAGAAACTAATGAGAAAAAAAATATGTTTCAGTAAAAAAACCACAAAAATGGTAATCCTTGTGCATAAAATTGTATCAGCTAGAACAAACAGCAATATGTTTACAATTATTTGTTAACTTGAATGAGAAATCACACCTTTTAAGTGACTGAGCTAGGTTACTACATAAACTATGTTCAAATATATAGCATAGGCCCAACTATTTGTTTAAGAATAAGACAAGGTTATGGTAATTAGCTGTTAACATTGCATCTAATGATAATTTACAACAAATAATTTATTATACAACATGAAATAAACAAAAATTGCTATTTTATTATAAAACAAAATTAAATCTGATATTTAAACATCAGTAAATATATTTACTCCTTCAAAAAAAAACAATCAATTTTCTTTTTATTATAGAAAACCATATAAAAAACAAAAAAATATGCTAGTTAAACTTACAGACACAACATCTTCCCATTCTTTCTCAAAATAATGTTTTAGTAGATTTGTGTTATTTAAAAGATACTCAGTGACATTTTCATCTAACATATAATTTTGGGCTGGAAAGAAAGATAAAAAACATTTTGTACAATTAAAGGCAAAATCAATTTATGAATATATAATTGAATTTTTAAAGTCCTTATAATACATGAGTGCTTAACCCTACAAAGAAATAAATAGGGAGGTAGCAACAATTTATTTTACATATTTGTTTAAAATAAAAAATGTATAGATATATAATATAATTATAAACATGCTTCTTGGGCAAGGGGGGGAGTGTGTTGGTGTAGATCATGGTTGTTAAACTGAAAAGTTACAAGTTTGAACTCTCGGGCAGATGAGGCTCGATAGAAGGGGACAGAAACCCATCTAGCAGAGGAAAATCCTAAATCAAACAACTGCTGCCTTGTAGTTTGTTCTTGGATGGACAAAGGCTATAGAAGCAAATCTAAAATGAAAAGCAGACTGAAATCGGAGTCAACAGACTTCAAGCTTATAACAAGATGACAGGTGTTACTTTATTGTGTTGATCTGTCCAACATTACAATTAAAGATGAAGATACTTATTTTAAACTTTTAAAAAATCTATCGTTATATAAAAATTGAATAAACATGTACGACAGACCATTTTGAGAGGCAGCCTTAAAACCTTTGTGTACAATGTTGTAGGAAATAAAAGTACTCTTCAGTAGTTTTTCATGGTTCTGGAAAATAAAAAAAAACAAACAAATATATTTAACTTTTTATAGATTACAACTATTGCTTTTAAAACAAATATCTCTATTAAAAGTAAATTTCTAGACATGAAGCTTAACATCTAGTGAAGGTTTTCTATACTGTATAATTAACGTTATCTTCGGGCATTTTTAAACTTGACAACTTTATCTCAGAACATTCTTAACTTCATAGTTAGATAAGAATCTGATAAGTCTAATTGTTTTTGGACAACATACCTTATAAGTAGACAAAATTTCATCATTAGTCATGCCGATTTCGATGAGGGCAGGATAAGCACAACTCACTAAATTCTCCATTTTATCCTCATTTATCTCTATGTCTAGCAGCATCTGTACAGCTTTCAACACACCTGTCATTACATAGCAAGCATACAATTTAAGTTGTTCATATTTTATTAAATTTTAAGCATTAATGTTTTAAGAGACCTTTTTTGTTGTTAAAGTATATTAAAAAAAGTGACGACCCTCTCTCATATAGAAACATCATTGCCTGTTTCATTTATTGAAGCTTTTAATATTTATAATTCCAGCTAATTAAGTCTAATCTTGAAAACCAAAATGTACCCATTGTTTAATTTTACAAAATAGATACTTTCAGTCAAAAGAAGTCATTCAAGAAATAAAAAAGTCTAGATCCTTCAAGTATTAAGTTTACACTATTGATAACATTGAATTATAAAACAAACCTTCTTTGTTATTTTGTTTCTTGAAACCACAGATGGCTGGAAGAGGGTAGGCTGGTTTTATTTGATAATTCTGTCGATTATAAAAAAAGAATTATTTTTTAATAAAAGTAGAAGTTCAAATTAGTAAAATGAATACACCTGTAAATACTATTTCTTACTTTAGAGCGCATTATGTCCAAAAAATCCATTGCAAGATCTGTGAAATTTAAGGTAAAATTTTAAAACAAATAGGTATACAAGAATCTTTTATTACTAACAATATTACCTGACAGATCAGACAGCAATTAAATGACAAGGGAATAACAAAATTAGGATTGATACATGAAGGATTAATTCAGTATAAATATATTTTAAAATGATGGTTGTAAAATACCTGTACGTCCATCTCTATAGGCATAAAGCAAAGTATTTCTGTGACTTAATGCTTTTGGTGCAATTTCAACTATCCTATCAGCAATATTCATGATCTCTTGAGCACTCTTAAATGTCAAAATCAATTAACATATTACTTTTTGTAAATTACTCTTTCAGTACATGTTTAAAAAAAAGTACTCATATAAATATTTTCCTTACCTGACCATTAATTATCATTGCTTTCAAAAGAAAATTTCCAGTATTTGACATAAGTTTGCCTTCTTCAACATTAGGAGTAGTCATAAAAATTTGAAAAGCAGCATCAATAAAACCTTCTGCCATCAACTGACAGGATTTTTGTATGGATAGGCTATTAAAAAGCCCTCTTTCAGATATGAATTTCAGCATTTGCTGAAAAAAAAAATTCAGCAAATTTTCAAATATTTTAAAATATTTTAATTATTTGTGATTTATATTTTTATTTACAGTTACAGGCAATGAACAGCATTTACAAAAATTTGGTTAAGTTTGTATCACTTAAATTGTATCACTTTTACTGTTCTTACTTCAGCGCTGCTTGAGTGTCCCGATATAACCATCAGTCTGTAGAGATCAAGCAACATATTTTGATCTAATGGGACTCCAAGATTGTAAGCTTCATTAATGTACTGCAACAAATGTGTTCACATATAAAAACAAAAAAAATATATGGCAGTGTGGTATATAAATGAACCAAAAAAAAAATAATGAAAGATATTTCTATAAATTTTCAATCCATTTTAACAATACATATATATTTTCAAATTCTGAATTTTGAATTTTACATCATTTTAAAATAAAAAGATTACATGATGATTTTAGTGTAGTATTAAGTGCATGCATACATTTTTTACCTTCATAACTGAGTCAAAATCACCCTTTTCAGCATAATATTGTGCAAATCTTAAAAAAGTGTCTGAATTTGGGAGTAAACCTTGATTTCTATGAAGTACACAATGAATAAGAGAAAATTAGTAAGTTAATTTTTAAACACGACTCTCAAGCTAATTATAAAACTATTTGTATAGTGCAACTTATATAACAAGAACACAGTATTGATTTAATCAAACTCACCTTAAAATATCTAAAACTTTTGTTGCTTCTTCATATGAGCTATCATTTTAAAAAAATAAGATATTATTGTATATATAAAAACATAGGCACAATTTAGAATTCAATTTCTTTTTTTGAAATGCTTATAAACTGTAACAAGCAGAAAAGATTCACACCAAAACAAAAATTGAGTACCCTTTTGGCTGTCTGGACAGATGTTTATTAGCTTTCATGACAAGGATATAGTCATATTATAGGATTGAGTGGTGTCTGTACCATGTGTAAATTCTAGAGTTGGAAGGGATTCCCTCCAACACAATTAAGTATTATGTGTCAACTTGTTAAGCTCCATATAAGTCATTACTACTATTTCAGCCTGCTTTACTTTACGATTTCAGCCTGCTTTTCTTTTTGGATTTGCTTCCATAGTCTTTGTCCAATCAAGAACAAACTACAAGGCAGCAGTTGTTTTATTTTGGAGTTGTCTCTTGTAGAAGAGTGGCTGTCCCTAGATGGCAAGCCTCATCTGCCAAACTTGAGACTTTTCAGACTTTTACCAACTCGACCGGGCCGACTCGCCCATGGACTCAGAGAGACTTAACTGAACTAACTGAGCAAACCACCACTTGGTCTTTTTATCCCTTGGTCAATACCAGTCTTGAAATTTGGTTTGCATTAATTTTAATTCCAAGACTAGTTTTGATACAAATCAAATAAGTCACCATTGAAAAAAATAAAATCAAAGCCTTTGAAGACTTTCAAAGTGAAAATATACTCACCCTGCTATGAGATGACCCGTAATGAAAGAATTAAAATTGTGGACACTAAGAGGTAGTTCTGCAGCTTGCATAGCTTGTAACACAGTGCTGACCATAAAATACACATGTGTCAAAATAATGTAAAAGATTTCCTCCATGCATTTGATATACTTGGCATTCAAAAAACTCACTAATTATTTATTCAACACTTTCAAAAACTTACTGAGCTCCTGCAATGTCACCTTTCTGACAAAAACCTTCAACAAGCAGGCCATATGTTATCTTTAATAAAAATAAATTGACATTGTATATTACTCAAATTCCTGCAATACAGGAAAACAAATAAAAATTGTGTAAGATCAAATTACAAGCACATTTAACTTGATATTTACCTTGTCTGGATTAATACCTAAGGCTTTCATGTTCATTAGTTCCTGCAGGGGATCAAACAACTTTTTGTTGGAAATGTATGTCCTTAGTTTTCCATTGTACAACTTTGCTGTTGGTTTTATACCTTTCAGATATATTATGATATTAACAGCTTTTTATGTTAAAAATGTATCGCAAGTAATGAAACAACTTAATGATATTAAAATTATAACATTTTAAAATACTTTCCAAAATAAAAATGTTATTTAAATAAAGTAAGTGATTTAGATAAAAGACAACATCTCTAATGTAAGCATTATGTTTTATTAAAAAAGTTAAACTACCTAATTCATCTAGCTTACTCCAGATTTCATCTACTAAAGCTAATCTTTTCTCAGTGGGGGCATCAAATGGACCGATGTTACAAATAAATAGCAACAAACCAACATCGTGCTCTGTTACAGAATCTGCGCAAAAATAAAAAAATATAAGAAACCTATTAAGAAAAACACTAACATTTAAAAAATATCAATTGATATTCTATTATGGTAATTGATTAATTTGGAGATGGCTAAGTGAGGCAGGAGAGCTCATGGCTGCTAACTACAAAAGACACCAAGCAGAAAAGGCTCATTAACCGGAGGCAACATTTCATCTAGAAGAGAAAACTGCTAACTTGCAGATTGCTTATGGATGTACAAAGGCTATGAAAGCAAATCCAGAAAGAAAAGCAGGCTAAAGTCAACTTGTTGACACATAATAGGGGCCGGAGTGAGCTCATGATTGCTAAACCGAAAAGTCTCGAGTTTGAACCCTCGGGGCGGGCAGATGAGGCTCGTTATCTGGGGACAGCCACTCTTCTAGGAGAGACAACTCCAAAATCAAACAACTGCTGCCTTGTAGTTTGTTCTTGGTTGGACAAAGGCTATGGAAGCAAATCCAAAAAGAAAAGCAGGCTGAAATCAGAGTCATTGGCCTCAATGGTGCATAACCATTTGACAGGTATACTTAATTGTGTTGGAGGCGTGGTCGAGTCTGCAAAAGCTCATGGTTGTTAAATTTGAAAACCCTCTGGCAGATAAGGGTCGATCCCTTCCAACACTAAAAATTAAGAAAGAAGAAGAAGAAGAAGTTGGAGGAAATACTCTCCTACAATTAAGAACAAAGAAGAAGATAGACTAATTTTATTTAAAAGGCTTACTTATTAAAAGCCTTACCCATATTTTCCAAGGAAGAATAAACTGATTTAAAAAGATCACTTGAAACTCCTAAATTGTAATCAATTTTTTTATGCACTTGAATCATCATTTTTTCTTTTCTGCTTTCAGCAAGGCTGGCAGCAAATCTAGAATAGTAGAATACAATATTTGCATTATTTGCAAACTTGAGAAAAGGGCATTATTTAAATTATTATAAAATTTTAATTAACTATAACAAATATATTTTGCAATGCTTTAAAATAAAATGCTTTGAGGAGAGGAAGGGAGAAAAAGACCAAATTAAAAAAAAAAATAGAGGCTCATGTTTCCTAACGGGGATAAAATTGTAACTTTATATTCAACTAGGAGGTAGATAGAGGGTAGGGTCTTTTAAACAACGTAGCTGTTTTTTAAACAGTAAGAATACAGAAAATGACACTTTGAAGATAAAAGTCAATATTTTATTAGTATTGTGTTAAGTGTGACGGTAAAACCGTTGAGGCTAGCTCCATTTTATTCTTCCACCACCCTCTACCTGCTCTATTACTCCCCGCCTCTCTCTACTGCTACGTACATCCTATCTTTCGTCCCCTCACAGGCTCCTCTCTAGTTGGCTAGATTGTCCATGTGACACACCGCCAATTTTAATGCATATAAGGGGATGCAACAAAGAAATCTCGCACTCTTCCAGCACTGAGCTCAGCTGGTGGTGTCGCACATGGCGTTTGGGCCGTCGTCCCTACTCCCATGTGCATGGTTTTGTATTATTTACTTAACTCATTCTATGATAACTGTATGGTTTGTAACACATATAAATAAGTATGATTCATATGTATAAGCTTTTAGAAGTATAATAAATTAAATTGTACTCTTGCAGTAACTTTGTGTTTTTAAGTAACTTATAGTTATTATTTTACTACAGGCCGTAAACTACGGGCATTTAGTTGACCCGTAGTCATCGGATCTGATATTTCATTTTATTCACAGGCCGTAAACCCTTGCCAGAGTCAAGAGGTCAACGGATTAGGTTGTTATTACTTTAAGGCTGTAAACTGCGCACATTGAATTGTAGCGTAGTCATCAGACCTTCAGCTCGCCACTATTAAGTTTACTTATTACTATTACTGCATTAGCTGCTGAAACTTTATTATTACTTGACCCTGTCCGGGACTTAGTTCACGTGACAGTTAAATACATACTTAAAAATACATTTACTATATTCCCGGTAGACAAGCGGCTCAGACCCTCCTACCGGTTGAATCACGCATTTTACTGATTATCCCAATTAATACGCTACCAATATTACACTTTTTTTAATACAGTAATTTAATTCGTGACCGGTGGTTAACCTCGTCAATGCTGCGTGGCCTATTCGTCTAGATTTATAGAATTTGTATAAAATGTTGTATAGTATTTCTAACGATGCTCGTTCAGTGGTTAGGGTTTTGGGTTATGGAAGGAAGCCAACACAAAAATATACTTCTGTATTATTTTTATTCATTTCAACAGCATATACAAGTTCTATATATCATTCTAGCTAAACTCTGCAAATATGAACAAAATACAACTGCAAGTAAAATAACTATGCTCAATTTATTCAGGCATACCATGACTTGTCACAATTGGCCAATACAAAAACAAGGGGATTCCACCCCTCACAAAAAAATTCGGTAAAAAAAACCTATTTGAGCTAGACAGAAGCAGAAAATCTTTTTTGTTTTGTTTTCATATAGTTGAGCTCTACAAGAATATGTAATTTTTATTTTTATATGATGATTAGGCCTAGTGTTTTTTTAAACAAAATCCCTAACTTTAGGGTTTAGGCTTAGGCAGCAAAGGCGGCTTAGGGCCGGTCCTCTTTTTAATTATTAATTATTTTATTTAATATTTTTTTATCACCGTGTTTTTTTTTTCGAAGTGACTACTCGGAAGAAGATTTTTCTCCCCATCTCCACTTAGTCGGCAAAAGATAGCTCTGCGCATGCGCAGTGACCTATGGCTAAGGTTAGGGCTAGAATGAGGGTTAGGGGTAGGATTAGAGTTAGGGATAGGGTTAGGAAATTAGGGTTAGGGATAGGATTAGGGCTAGGTTTAGGGTTAGGGATAGGATTAGGGTTGGTGTTAGGGTTCTGCATATCTTATTCTAGTCTGGCGCGTTGCTTAGATGGTAGGATTGACCTCTGACCCTGAAACGACACGCGTCGTTTTCTGACGGTTTTTACGTTTATTTTACGGGTCCCATCCACGACAAATGAAAAAACTGTTTATATCGCAAATTCTCATCATTATTTTAATGCAAATTGCTAATAAAATGGATAATATGCCTTAGAATGCCAGAAAAAAATCGCAAGCTTCGTGGTTGTAAATAATGAGAGGATTTCTAGTAGAGCACTCTCCGTAAAAACTGAACCGCCGCCAAAAACGACCGACTAACGGGGAAAACGGCTCGACTAACTGTACATTATTATATAATTGATATATTTATCATGTATATTTACAGTATTTTTGATTACTTTTTCCAAAATCTCACTCGAGGATGAGGTACCCACGCTGACATTTCTATCCGCTATTTTTAGTATCATGACATCATTGTTACGCTAGTTACCTCACAGAAACAACTAGTTTTTGTTTTTTGCGGAATGAACTGTTAAATCTAGTATTTTAATTATAATTCAATTGTAGCATGTGCGGAAAAAGTAAAATTATGGACATTATTATTGTATTAGTAATTTTATTAGTATATTGATTTTTTTTCTTCACTGTGGGCCGACAGTTGCTGCATTCGTGACCGGTGGCTAACCTGGTCAACGCCGCGTGGCCTATTCGTTTATATAATCAGTGATGCTCGTTCAGTGGCCTTTTTCAGAGCTAGGCCTAATTACGGGCGATTTTTAGACTTAATTGATCGGCCGTTAGCCTTTTTCATTGCTGCGTATTTTAAAAAATGCTCGTTCAGCAGCTTTTTTTTTTTGGCGCTAAATAATCTGTTTACGGGCATTTTAAGCGTTTATTTATTTATTTTTTAAGCTAGATCTAGTTAAAATTTTTTTTTAAATACAGCTGGCTGTCTAGCATGCCTGTTATGTGAACTTTTTAAAAAAAATGACCGAACTTTAAAAAAAAAATGACCAGAAGTAGGGAAGAAGGTCTGTTTTTCAATTTGCTTGAAGGGGGGGGGGGGGGGGGGGGGGGGGAGAGAGAAGTGAAGACACCGACCATCTCGTGTACGCGTGTTCATTCTATGACGTGTACTATAGGCCTGCTGAACTCACGGTGAACCCGCGACCGTGGTGGGATTTTTCATCCACAGGATAGTAAACGTAAGCAAGCAATCACGCGAGTGACGTTGTTTGGAGATTTTATTTAAAAAAAAATAATCACATACGTCATGTTTTCAAGATGAAAAAAAAATGTAATGTAAAAAAAAAAAAGACACTAATACCATGTATGAACCTCAGCTGCCACGCTGTTGACTCAATATAATGTGAATTGAGTGTAAAATGTATTTGTATTTATAAACTATCATAACTATTACTATCATATTATTTTAAGCATATTTATTATTTAAAATTAGAATTTGAAATAAAAATATTTATTATGGTCATTTGATTTATGCAGGTGTTCATTACTTCATAAAATGGTATGAATATCATGTGGAGTAGAATTTAATAAATAATAAAATAACTAGGCCTATAGAATAGTATACAAGTATAATAGATGTAGGATCTAACAACAATAACATGCTTATATTTATTTTATTTTATTTTTTTTTACTAATTTCTTTTTCGTGCACGAAGTGTACTTTTTTTAAGTGTAGAGAAAAAAGTATTTTAAAAACAATAGGCCTATAAAATATAAAAATATAGTTTCAATAGTTTAGCAATTTTGTCAGTGTGTCAGTCATTGAACACAATAACTTGAGTCAAGTACTGTTTCAGTTATGTTGAACAAATTTCATATAGGGCCTATTTATTAAGTAATAGTATTTAGTTTAGTCCTAAACTAGGAGATAATACTTATTGCCCCATTGCCCGGCTCCTTTCACCCCAAATGCTGATTTTGGGGGTATGACAATAATTGTTCAATTAAACACATTTAAAGTATAGGCCTATTTAATAGACTTTGTTATTATTTTTATATTGTGTAAGATATGTTAGAATAATTTTGCCATATTTTCAATACTAAAAAATTCTTAGATTAGTAGAAATCTTCAAAAATGTACAGGTGCTAAAAAATGTGGCTCTTAACGATAATTTTCAAATTCTCTCTTTTCTCGTCAACCGAGTAAGCTAGATATTTAAATGTGGTGTCAAATGTTCTCTTAATAGTCTTAAGGGGTAAGGAAGTTAATGGTGTATTTGAAATAACAGAATATTTTATTTTAAAAAATCCATAATTCAACCTAATAATAATTCAACAATTCAAAATTCAAACTAGATCTAGAGTAAAGTTCCACGCGCGGTTAAAACACCGGTGCGATCATCGCCTGTTTATCGCTTCGTACAATATTTGTTTTGATGTTTTATACGAAACTACCGATATCTGCTGTAAACCTGTCCATTTCTAAATATATCCAGATCAAATTCTTTTGTTTTTCTCCTTCTGGAAGTCGAGTTTTTAAATTTTAAAGTTTCGAGGTATGACGTCGTAGGCGGTTCTAGTTCCCCCTATGAAAAACACTAGGTCCCGGATGAGATGAATAAAACCAACCAATCAAAGCTTTTTATAACTAGGTTAACTATAAATAGCTTCTACAATATATGCGGGACACTGTACATACGATAGATAAGGCTAATAAAGCAACCTGATAGGTAAATAGGGGTGGCCGCAGCTTGGGTGTCGATTACGGTGGTTTCACATCGCTGCGTAACCAACGACTTGAGCTAGACTAGCCTAGTTCTAGATGCTCTATATTTCAAACTAAGCCTAGAATCTGTATACTTTCTATTTTTTTCTGCTGTTTTAAATTATTTCGATCATCTACTTCTTCTAAATCTAGTTTGTGTCTCTACATACAAGCATATCTAAGCAAATGTTACGTTATGTCTTTTAGTGGTTGTTACGTCCCTTTGTTATGATTATTATAGTTGCGTCCCTTGAGTCATCACTGGGTCAACTTTTAATGTCTTTAATTAATTTAATTAACATGTTTTTAATTATTATTTTTGCAATCTATTAATTAATAATACAATCAACAACACGTTTAAGTGTGTAAAATATTTATTTCAATTATTAAAATTGGATCAAAACGTATACAATACGCTCGTTGGCAAGCAGGTTCTTGCGTACGCAGGCAAAAAAAAAAGGGAAAAAAAATATCGCAAGGAGGGACGTCACTAAAACATGAATATCTTAAATACTATGCGTAGGAATACAAAATGACTCATACTTATTACAGTAGAATGGCAGCGGAGTAATACAGTGCTTTCGGTTTGTTTCTGTGTGAAACGGTTATAAAATAGCGCCCGATGAAAATCGGGAATTTGGAATTTTCCGCTATGTGTGACCGCGCGTGGAACTTTACTCTAGAGTAAAGTTCCGCGTGGGATCACACATAGCGAAAAATTCCAAACTCCCGATTTTTATCGGGCGCTATTTTGTAACCGTTTCACACAGAAACAAACCGAAAGTACTTTATTACTCCACTGCCATTCTACTCTAATATGCATGAAGTATTTTGTATTCATACGCATAGTATTTGAGATATTCATGTTTTAGTGACGAACCTGCTTGGGATCAACTTTTCCCACTTTTTTTTTTGCTTGAGATCACCTGTCCCTGCTTGGGATCACTAGCGTATTTTTTACGTTTTGATCCAATTTTAACAATTGAATTAACATTTTACACATTTAAACGTGTTGTTGATTGTATAATTAATTAATAGATTGCAAAACTAAATAAAAAACATGTTAATTAAATTTATTAACTACACATTACGGATGACCCAGTGATGACTCAAGGGACGCAACTATAACAATCATAACAAAGGGACGTAACAATCACTAACATGACATAACTTAACATTTGCTTAACATATGATTGGATGAGAGATACAAACTAGATTTAGAAGAGGTAGATGATTGAAATAATTTAAAACAACAGAAAAAAATAGAAAGTATACAGATTCTAGGCTTAGCTTGAAATATAGAGCATCTAGATCTAGGCTAGTCTAGCTCAAGTCGTAGGTGTACCCAGCGAGGTTAAAACACAAAAATCGTTACCCCAGCTGGGATCACCCCCATTTCACCTCCAAGATTGTTTTAATAGCCTTAACTACAGTATTTTCAGTGTCCCGCACATAAATAGAAGCTATTTATAGTTAACCTAGTTATAAAAGCTTTGATTGGTTGGTTTTATTCATCTCATCCGGGACCTAGTGCTTTTCATAGGGGGGAACTAGAATGGCCAACGACGTCATACCTCGAAACTTGAAAATTTAAAAACTAGTCTTCCAGAAGGAGGGAAACAAAAGAATTTGACCTGGATATATTTAGAAATGGACATGTTTACAGCAGATATTGGTAGTTTCGTATAAAACATCCAAACAAATATTATACGAAGCAATAAACAGGAATGTGATCCCACCGAGGTTTTGATCTCACGCGGAACTTTACTCTAGATCTATCTTATTCCGGCTAGCATCGGCCTTTTTTTTTTTCTTCTGCATACTCAAGATCTAGAATCTGGTGTTTTCTAACTAGCTTACCGTTGAAAGTTTCGGCATAGCTGCTCCTTTGTTTTTAAACATTGCATCTGTTTGACATTGTTTTTTAATATATGTCCAATATTTCGGTTTATTTGTATTCCACACCTTATGAGCGCTGCCATTTTAAGGTGAGAATTTTAAAAATGATTTCTTTAAGCTAGTCGGCGAAACAAAAAATGAAGTAAGATTTCTAGACAGATTCTACTTTTTACTTTCTCGTATATACGAAGTATAGAGAAAGTCTTGTAAAAAAAAAAATGTTATCTCAACTTAGTTTCCAAACCATTATTTTTTAATGACTAATTAAACATCCTTAATTAAATTTTCAAAAAATAGATAGTCTTGTATAGTCATCGAAGTGGAATGTATCTGGGAAGTTTGAACCCAATCGCTTCATTTGGAAGTGTGTCAAAATTGAGTTACAACATTTGCTATGAACCACAAAAGGGTTATCCATAAATGACGTCACACTCGTCGGGGGGAGGGGGGGGGGGTCCGTAATTTTGTGACGATGTGTGATGAGGGGGAGGGGGGGGGGGGTCAGATGTTGCGACGTCACTTTTTTGCATTATAAAAAAGCAATGTTAGAAAACGAATTTTAGACGTTATTTCGCGTTTTAGATAACTGTTTTAATAAATTGTAATAGTTTAGACAAGATTTTGGAAAAATATCGATGTTTTTAAAAAATTCAACTGCAATTTTGAGGGGGGTTGTAGGTTGAGGTGTGACGTCATTTTAGGGGGGGGGGGGTCTGGCTTTTTGTGACGACGTGTGACGGAGGGGAGGGGGAGGAGGTAAAAATCGTCAAAAAAGCGTGACGTCATTTATGGATGACCCCAAACAGACGTTGCGTACTAAATAAAAATCGGAAGTGTGTGGACAGAAGTGCAAATCCTAACTAGAAAATGGTGTTTGATTTGTCATACGCTAAACCCACCTCCTCCCCCACCCCTAACAAAATAGAAAAAAAATTTATATAGGTCTAAAAATGGTGCACCGTCAAAACAGACTGTAACATAACGGTCCCGATAAAATAGCCCTGTCAAAACGACCCTGAAAAAAGTCCCAGTCAAAAATAGGCCCGACAAACGGGGCTCCGACATATAAGCTCCCGTCAAACGGGCTGCCGTCATATTCACTCGCGACTTATTGGCTAACAACACATTGGCCCCCGGCAGAATGATTCCTGACATAGTGGCTCCAGAAAAATAAATCGTATGACCACTATTGGCATAGACGTAACCATTTTGTCTAAGGGGTCATCCATAAATGACGTCACACTCGTAGGGGGGAGGGGGTCCGTAATTTTGTGACGATGTGTGATGAGGGGGAGTGGGGGTTCAGATGTTGCGACGTCACACTTTTGCATTATAAAAAAGCAATGTTATAAAACGAATTTCGCGTTTTAGATAACTGTTTTAATAAATTGTAATAGTTTAGACAAGATTTTAGAAAAATATCAATGTTTAAAAAAAATTCAACTGCAATTTTGAGGGGGGGGGGGGGGTGTAGGTTGAGGTGTGACGTCATTTTAGGGGGGGGGGGTCTGACTTTTTGTGACGACGTGTGACGGAGGGGAGGGGGGGGGGGGTAAAAATCGTCAATAAAAGCGTGACGTCATTTATGGATGACCCCTAACCCACCAACCACATGAAGTGCCTCTCAACTACAACTTCTTTAAAATGCCTGAATGAAAATCTTTTTCATGAACCAAAAGCAATTCATAAATAAATCGAGCTCTTAACCGAAAATTAAGAGCGAGCACAGTAGTTCCAATTTATGATTGAGTCTACATTATTTTACAAGGATAAACGGCGTTTTGTTTTGATTACCTAGCCTACAAGCATACTGGAGATAAATGTACAACGTGGATCTCTCTCCTCACACACTGAGTTGTAACAGCATACAACCGACTCATTAATGGAAGTGACAGCTAGATGTCCCTTAAATTTAAAACATGCTACTATTTCTTATGCTAGATAAACTAATATAAAAATAAGGCCTGCCGAACAAGAGTTGATTAAATTTGTATTATTTATGAGTTGGCTAAGCTCTAAAGAGTATTGATGAATGGTTCCCAATGAAGCCGTTTCGCCTGGAGAACCCCCACCCCCCACCCCTCCACCATCCCCATTTAAAATTGTGAATATTACTTTCTTGAAATTTTTTGTTTTGCATTGTGTATAGACCCTGTGGGCCTATATTTCTGCATCGTTGCGCCCAAGTGTTGTTTTCCCTAATTTCACTGCAGAGTTTCTTCCAGGCATCTCTTCGGGGGGTTAGATTGTTCTTTGTTTATATGACATGCACAATTTTAAAATTACGGACATAAACGGCACGATCGCATCGTCGTTAATAGCTGTAACAACATCAGACAACTTTAACTTAGTGATCTCATTGGGGGAGTGGAGTGTTCTGGTGCTTCTCCCCCCTAAGACCCTTTAACTGCCGCACTGCTGACCTGAATAGTAACCTCAATTGTTTCATGGTGCCTCTATTATGCGTCATGGTTCCACGTAGAAACACGCAAGTGACAGTGAAACAGTGTTTCTTCCAGACTTTTTTCGCCGGGAGGGGGGGGGGGGAGGGCACTTGATATTTTAGGGTAGGTGGGGGGGGGGGGGGGCGGTCTACATTTACCGGGGGGGGGGGCGGACACTAGTAAAAGTATATGTTTACTATATAAATTCCATCTCGTTCGGGGGGGGGGGGGGGGGGAGGGGCGGTAGACTTTCTTCGGTATTCAGGCAGTTGGTTACGGGAAATCCCTCAACAGTTAATATAAACCAAACAATATGATACTTTCGATCTAATAAATTTCGTCCACCTAACCCCCCCCCTCCCCCCAGTGTGAAATTTTAGAATGTACTTTTAGGAGCAATAGAAAAAACGGCATAATCACACAATGTCATTTTTTAAATTCTTGTAAAATAAATTAATGAATCATAAAAATAATTATGGGGAGAATAAATGAAGAGTTTATTAGGGGTCCTCCATAAATGACATCACACTCCTGTAGGGAAGGTTAGGTTTGCCTGTCGCACCTTCTGGGACACAGGCTGCTGACAACAGCTTTCCAGGCATCTCTGTCCTGGGCTAGCCTCTCCAACTGTCCCCAGGTGTATCCAATCTTCTTGGTGTTCTTCCAGGTCACGTCTCCAGGTCTTCCTCGGTCTGCCTCTTGTCCCTTTACCTGGTGGAATCCAGGTGAGGGTCGATATGGAAGGGATTTTTGGAATTTTAACTGTGACAATGTGTGACGTCACACTGTTGCGTTTAAAAAAAAGTAAAGTTAGAAGCTGAATTCTGGCCGTTAATGCGTGTTTTAGAAAGCTGTTTTTGTAGATTTTATTAGAAATTGATTAATATATTCTGTTGACCGAGCTAAATACATATTTTAGAAAGAAATAAAGCTGCTACTTTTAAAGGCGTTGTAGGCTGTATTGTGATCTGACCTTCTGTGATTATGTGTGACGAATGGGAGGGAGAAGGTAAAAATCGTCAAAAAAACGTGACGTTATTTATGGCTGACCCCTAAAACACCGCATCACATTCACAACCCGTACACGACACCAGATCCTAAACCCAAATCACCCGCCCCACTCACCAAATACACGCCACTCCTCGTACACCATCTCATCGCAACCACAGATATATGTCAATATGTACATATAACTTTGAATATGTTATGCATTAATGTATATATATATATATATATATATATATATATATATATATATATATATATATATATATATATATATATATATATATATATATATGTAAGCCCTGCTAGGGGGGGATACCTTAAAATCTTCCCTTCTAGGCTTATCTAACTTTCTACTGTCCGGTCAGTGCAAGCCTGGATAAACCCAGACTGGTTAATAACCTAACCTTAGTCTAAATAAAAACAAAAAAAATCTTTAACAATAATATAAAATTTATTTCCTGGAACCAATCAAAATCACAAAAAAGAATGGATAAAAATTACTGACACAAAACAGACAAAACAAAACCAAACAAAACAGTTTATATACAACAAAACATTACGTTCTACCATTTGCTGGTGTTGCGCCGACTTATGATGTCTAGGATGGTCCAGGCCCTGACACACAGAAACCTCCCTTCATCCATTCTCGACATCCAAAAGTCCACACCAAACAAAACACTACGTAAAACCACTACGTACAATACGTTACGTACAATACATTACGTAGAAAATACGTACACAACAAACTTTTTACACCAAACAAAACAATTCATATATAACAAAACACCCAGCCAAGTTGCCCAAGCAACCTCACTCCACGCGTGAGGTGCGCCACGCGCCCACACAGAAACCTGACCCGACCTACATCTCGCCGCGGGTCAAAAAGGAAGAAAATCGTCCAAGCGGTCAATTTATACTGACCGCTTCGAGCGGAAGGGGACCCCGTGGCCGTTCCCCATTGGACCACCATGCACTCAGATTCGCACCAAATAAAATAATACAAAATAATCCATTCACCCGCTCACACATATATATATATATATATATATATATATATATATATATATATATATATATATATATATATATATATATATATATATATATATATATATATATATATATATATATATATAGGCCTATATATGTGAGAATATATATATATATATATATATATATATATAATCTATGTTTATTAATGTGTAATTCATACAAGCAAAAGATTAATGGATCTAGAGAGAGAACGAGGTCTAGATTCTAGATAATAGAGATGATTAGTCTAGCAAAAGATTGAAGAATATTTCGGTCTGTTAAAAGATTTTTGTATGTTTCGGTATTTAGTTTCACTAGGTAGAATATAGAGTTAAATAATGTAAGTAATAACATTACACCCTTTACTGGTCTACTTAAATACCAATATCTACACTGCTGTACAGTTTCGGAATAATAACCGACGCTATATCGTGATTTTACCGAATCGACATCTGGATCAGGTAATAATTTTAATAATTATAATAATTCCTAGATGGTCGGTTCACAAGTGTAAAACCAGCAGCTCACTTACTTAAGGCAAGAGTGATCGTTATTCGTTAAAAAATAGATCTAGTAGAGTAGTTAATGTTTGATAATCCTGTGTTATCTCCCCTTACATT